GTCTCGCAGATCTATGAGGAAATCTTTGACGGAAGCCGAATATCGCGCGCCTCCATTGCCTCGGGCATATATGAGGAGATGAAGCCAGCTGTTATGGAGACGCCTTCGCCACCTCCCCTACCAACGCACCCATATCGTAAACGCATAAACACATTTGAGTGCTCTCCTTTGGGCGATATTCCGCGATCCTGCACCAACCCCGAAGTGGAGCTAGCCAAGAAGAAGAAATACAAGAACATGCTGGACAACCTCTTCGGGAGTACGCGCCAGAAACGCTCCGGCAGTGTTAGTGAACCCGTCCAGCAGCCGAAGGACGACCAGTTGCCCCTCTACGAAAATGCGCCGACTCCAGAGGTGGCTCTGCCCTTGAAGCGCACTTCCCAGCTGAGCAAATCCCAGCGGAATAGCTTCTCAAGTCCCGACCTTTCGAAGCTCAACTTTCTGGACACCTTTGGGGAGGATATTTTCACGCAAAGCCACGAGTCTAGCGTTGAGCTGAACATCAGTCTGGATGACTCGGCCATTGAACCAATCTCACGGGATCAGTTGGTCGCACAGATCACGAGACACTTGAGCAAATCCGGCTCCCTGGAGAGCTTAAATGTATCTGAGCAACTGCCGAATAACTTTAACTTTTCCGCATGTAATACATCAACCATTAATCTGATCGGATCCCATGGTGCAGTGCCGCACAGCAATCGTGTGAAGAAAAATAAGATTATGGTGGACGATCTCACCGGATACTGTGTGATGGCGCCCATCGTGAAAATAATAGAGAAGGAGGTGCTGCCGCAGCCAGCTGGAAGCACTGCCTCCACCTCGTCTGGATATTCCACGGGCTCCTATTGCTCTTCCACCAGCAGCTGTAACACGGAGGACCAACCCACCAAGACATTGGTAGCTCCGGCTGCCAATGAGAGTGACATCTACGAGGCCATGCATGGCAGCTCCTTGAACAGCACCACAGCAGCAGCTGCGTCCGGTTTTGCCGAGCATTTGTATGAGAATCTCTTGGCTGTCAAGGCCGCCCAGGAGCTAGAGGCCCAACCTCTAGGCATTGGCCTCAGCACCAGCACACCCACCGAATCTCCTTTGCCAGCCTTGCCGCAAAAGGGAACACCTAAAGAGAAGCACAGCTATCAGGAGGAGGAGGAGGAGGACTACTACCAGACGCCTAGGAAGTCCATTATAAGCGTAGACGACAAGGTGCCCTCGTACTATCCAAACAGTTGCGATACTCTTAAATCCAAGCGGCGAAGTCCCACCGAACATGGCCCAAGCCTGAGGCACCTTGTTAGTTCCAAGTTGCGTCGCGAACGCAAGGAGAATCTCTATATATCGTCGCCACAGCAAATCATCGAACAGCGTCAGAAGGCCATCAACGCATCGGCAACAGCAACATCATCATCATTATCCACCAAGACTAAAATCTCAACGAAGAAGACTGCCGCCCACAAGATCTCCGAGGGAGTCTATGCCGTGACTCATCCGGTAAAGCGCCCCAATAGCACAAACAGCAACAATCACAACAACAATAATATGGAAGGAATAGAGGAGGAGCTCTTACACTTAACAATGCTCAAGAATATTGATTTCAAGTTCGATGACGGTCAGTCCACTGAGGATAAATCCCCGGGACAGCCAAGATACCCCACCATGAACGGGGGCATTGTCCAGCCCAAACTGGAGGATGAGTACGAGAACCACTATCAGGCGGCCGAGCAGGCAACTCGATTGCTCCAGAAGTATGCCACACTGGCAAAATTTGGAAATTCCCCGAACAAGACTAAGCCTGTGGCCCATCAGCCCATGACTCAGTCGGTGGCTACGTCCAATGAACTGCAGCCGTCTGGGGGCAGCATGAAAAAGTTTGCCTCTCTGCCTCGTTTCAAGAGAATTGACTTTTCGCCGCTGAAAATGCGTCTGAACAACGTCTTGCAGAGGAATTCGCCATCGCCGCAGCCGTAGGAACTATGCAGTTAAGTTAATTTTATCAAGGAATGCTTTCGCAGGAACATCTACTCACGTCACTGTGGAAGCACACACCTTTTAATTGTTTAAAGTATCGCTTAATTTATGTTATAGGTTATCTTGTGATTGTGATCTCTCCAGCTTTGTGTTGTTTTGATGAGAAGCTGATATCATCAGCTTAATATTATTTTATCCATGTATGTAATACGCTTTCCAACGTTGCACTTATTCTATATAGTATAGCCTTATATGTTGATCCAGCTTTGTCATAAGTACTCTAACGAATCATATCCAGTTCCATTTAAGGAGCGCTCCTAGTATTACTGTTGTGAATTGATTGTCTACTCTACGATTTATACATACATACGAATATGCTCAATTAAGGAAAATTTACAGAAACGCTTTTATACGAATTATACAAAATCCGATATTGTTGACTCATTTAGGCTCCTCGTTGTTGAAAAGATAACCAAATTTAGTTAAACAAGTTTTTATTATATTCTAACCTAATCATAAAATGTAACATTACACTCGGCTCGCACCTTCCCAGATATTTGGGGGCGGTGTGTTGCTGGAACTACGCTTTTTGGCTTCGCATAACATATCAAAAACTGGTTAGTCCTATTTAATAAATGCTTATATAGCCCCACCAACGCTCAATTGTACCGTGACTAAGATGTAAGCTTAATAAAAAGTTTTTGCTGCAACCGAAAAAAACATTTTAATAGAATCTGGCTCGAGTCAGAGTAGGGAGAGCAAAATAGTTGTTTAATGTGTCAATAGTGGACACCCTTTATTTCGTCATAGCCTCAACTGTAGACCATTGGCCGTCGTTGCTCATTTAAAAACTCCTGCTCAACCCGCGTATCTTTCGGTACCACATAGAAGAGCAGGGCTCCTCCAGAGACAAAGAAGCCCTTCTCATTGATAATTTCGCTTAGCGATCTCTCGGGTTCCACCTTGTGGACACAGGCTGCTTTGCGATTCTCGTAGTACACATTCACATTTCCCATTCGGTAGTTATGCGACTTGTCGCAGGGCAGTGGTTCGGCAAATAGCGTCGTAAGGCAATCCATCATGGTGGCGGTCTCCGGCAGCTGCTGCTGAAAATCGCTGAAGAGGAACTCTGGGTAGGAGAAGGCCGCAGGCCAGATTAGAGTGCTGCCATCGTCGTCGAGATGCACTGGGTGGTCCTCTAGGGGCAGGAACTTGGGACGCAGCAACTCCTCGGTAATGTTGGCCTTTTTTCCTACCTTTTGATCGTCGAATTTGATAACACGCTGCTCAATGGCGTCCCGAAGCTTTTGGAATCGGGTCAGACGACGCTTGGACTCGGCAGCCTCTTTCCGCTGATTGCGTTCCGTTTCCAGCTGAAAGAAAAACCAGAGCTTATATGGCGAACATCGGGAATTATCATCGCAGTCACCTTCTTCATCTTGTTCTTGTGCAGCAGTTCTTTAGCCTCCTTGTGGTCGATATCCACCTCCAGCAGTTCCTCGCACATCTGCGTGCACACATCAAACTTATCCAGTTCATAAGCACATTGGGCTGCCCTCCAGCGGGCCTTTGTGTAGTCCGGCTTGAAGAATAAGGCTCGTTGAGCATCGCTCAAGGAGGATCTGTAGTTCTTGATGAAATAGTGGGCCGCTGAGCGATTATTATACAGTACGGCCAATACATCGGGGTTGTCAGACTTCGACTTGATTCCCTCGGTAAAGCTGTACACGGCCATGCGGAATTTCTTGTGCTTCATATAGAAGTTTCCGTCTTCTTTGTAATTGAGTGCCAGCTCGTCGCGTGTGTTCTCCTCAGGATCGTACTTGAGCTTCTGCAGGCCCTCGAACATGGGATGGACATCATCGCCAGGTTGTGGCGCCTTCTTCATGAAGAACGGGTGCTTATCCATTTCCTCCTGCCATCGATCCTCGGGCCAGCCCTCCTCATACCGCTTTTTCTCCAGACCATCGATGAAGGCATCCAGCTCGGCATCTAACTTGGCAGCCAGCTCCAGACGTTCCTCGTCCGTCCAAGTTTTTTGGGCATCCAGCTCATCCATAGCTCATAAAAAAACAAAAACAAAGGAATGGCACATGCTGAACGATGTGTGGCCAGATGTCGTATATTTCATCAATTAATCCGCGGTCACACTGACAGTGTCGCCTTCGATTACATACAAATGTATTTCATATGTAGCAAATGTGTAGTTAGAATGTATTTACCATGTACAAACATTAATTTAGTGGAATTGTGGTTGACCTTTTTCGCTAAAACCGTTTTTTAGGCAAAGTCCAATAAAAGCAACTGTTTAAAATATACCAGTCAAGTAGCAAATAGGTTCATTAATCAGATAAAATTATGAACGCATGGCTAAATGTTCTTTAAAGCTAGTAATATTCTCCGGAATATCAAAATCGAAAAATTCGGTTTCCAAATCTAGACGAATAATGATTAACCCATTGTAGCCCAAGGGGTATTTCAATATTCCAGCGAATATAATGAAAATTAAATAGTCTTAGCGAAGATCAGGTGAAAGATATCGTCGTTTTTTTTATAAGTAAATACGAAGGATAAGACAGATCTACGAGAATAACTTACAAACACAATTATTTTCCGCCATGGACCTTAAGTCGTTGAACTATTTAAAGATCGGGGGCTTAAGTGGGCTAAGTTCGGGTTTTCATCGGTATTTTGTTTAACCAAAATTGAGGCAAAAACAATCAAAGCAATCGCCGCAGCAGGAAAACAAGTCAAGTATTTAAAACAAGCCAGTAAAGTAGACCATTGACTCATTAATCGGATAAAATTTTGTGGGCGTGGCTGAGGGTTCTATCTAGCTAGTAATATTCCACAGAATATCAAAATCGAGGAATATGTTTAATATAACTTGAGCTCGTCAGTATATTCACGGTATATTTTGAAATTTGTGGGGTATTTTCAGTATATTTTATCGATAACTCCGATCTTCGATTGCCCCATCTCTTTTCATTTCCTGCACTTTTTCCAAAGGTAAATAATTCTGTAATTTAAGAAACCATCACATTGTAAAGGTAATATTTGCATGCAAAATACTATAGCCAACCGTATTAACTATCAATACATAGAATTATTTTTTGCTTGGCTGGCTGCTTATACGTTTAAATATTCATAGAAAAATCAATGACCAGCGCTGATAATGACCCCCAGCTGGGGGTTTTCTTGCCTCTTTTCTGCCGGCACCAGATGCTGGGCTAGACATTAGTTAAAGTGATTAGTTTGATGATACAACGCTAATAGATGAATCATTTGGTTGCTTACAGATAAAAATGCCAGAACTCACTGAAATCAAGAACGAGGCTCCCTCCACCTCCGCCGAGGCCAAGGTCGAGGATGTACGCGTCGAGGATGACGGCAGCGACAGCGACTCCGATGGCATGCCCGGCTTGGAGGAGACAGGTGCAGGCACCACCCAGCTGGGTGGCGGAGCCACTGGCTTGCCCATTGATCTGGTGTCCAAGGCCAAGCAGTCTCGCGGCGAGAAGAAGGCGAGGAAGATCATGCTCAAGCTGGGCCTGAAGCAGATCCATGGCGTCAACCGTGTCACCATCCGCAAGTCGAAGAACATCCTGTTCGTGATCAACAACCCGGATGTTTACAAGAATCCCCACAGCGACACCTACATCGTGTTCGGTGAGGCCAAGATTGAGGATCTTTCCCAGCAGGCTCAGGTCGCCGCCGCCGAGAAGTTCAAGGCCCCAGAGGCTGCCGGCGCCGTCGACAGCGTTGGTGCCACCACATCGGTGGCTCCGATTGCCGAGGAAGATGAGGAGGAGGTCGATGACACTGGCGTCGATGAAAAGGACATTGAGCTGGTCATAACGCAGGCGAACACGACGCGAGCGAAGGCCATCAAGGCGCTGAAGAACAACAGCAACGACATAGTCAATGCCATCATGGAGCTCACCATGCTCTAGATAGCTCTCCACGCGCCGCAGAAACTATGATTTCGTTGCTTACCCGCCCTTTCGATAACTACAGACCCAGCTGTTATGCATGCATCAAGCGACTGCATGCTACACCAGTCAACATTTAAAAGCATTATTAATCAAGAATAAAGTGAAATTCTTTCTGACACAATTCCTGTTTATTTTGGGACTAGCATTAGGAGTGCTTTCAAATGCGATTGCAACTTTTCAACTTAAAACAATTCGAAAGTTAAATAGAATGCGGTTTCGAGTCAAGTACATTCATTAAATATATAAGTACGTTAGGGGAGATTACGGTGACTGGCACAATGTGGATTAGTCTGGGGGTCAAATATTAGGTGGAGATTGGATCCAGCTTGAGGACACGAGCCTGGCTGCGTGCCTGCAATCGTATGTCGGCCGGACTCTGCATCCAGGGCTCTCCATCTGCCTGCATCGGTACGGTTTCCTTCACTTGCAACTGAGAGCGAAGAGTGAAACACGGAATTCCCCATAAGAACACAGAACACTTACCCTAATCTGCTTGGCTTGGCCAATCCTCACTGGTTTGCTTATGTTACACTGCAGCTGGGCGATGTGAAAGGACGAGACGATGCCAAACACTTCCATCACTCCATCGGATATAGAGTTGACAATTCGCGTATCGCCATTGGAGTTGCTCAGCTCACACAACTTGCAGCCGGCGCCCCAGGAGTCTATGTTGAGAAAGACCAGCGCCTGCAGTTCCGGCAGTTGGATCGGTTTGTTGTCCAGGTACAAGGTGAGTTTTTCCTCAATTCGTTCGCAGCCCGGTTGCATGACCTGCTGCGTTCCAAATGTAAAGTACAGCAGCTGCAAAGTATGGGTTGATGTCTTGATATGTCTTGAACCTGGTCACTTCTTTGAAAGCTACCTTATTGAAAATGCGGCTGCTGAGAAGATAAAATCGAGATTCGCGCGTCTTGTGGAAGTTGTAGGTGATGTACGCGTCCACACCCACGCTGAAGTAGTTATACACGTGTACGGTCTTTGTGGGATGTCTTTGAATGGGCAGTCGATAGTGTAGCTTCTCGATTTGCAGGTCATAACGATCCAGATTGATGGAGCGGGCGCGTCGAATGCTGCGCAGGATCTGTACCGGGTCGAGAACAGTGGGTGGCTCCGCTCCCCAGCCAAGCACTCGCGACAAATCGTTGCCAGTGCCCAGCGGCATGATGGCTACCGAGGGCTGGGGCTTTATATTCAAAGCGTAGATGGTGTTCATCACCCAACCAATGGTCCCATCTCCGCCGGCCACCAGTATGCGACAGGGGCGGGGACTAGCCTTTGCTGCCCACTGCAGAGCGTCCTGGGGTCCGCGGGAGCCGAGCTCCATGACCTGCATAGGATGCAGGTAGCCACGCAGAAGGGACAAAACATCGGCGCCCGTACTGCTGCCAGACTTTGTGTTGGCTATCACAATCAAAGGCTCCCAGTTCTCTATATCGGGCGGTGTTATACTGGCCAGATGCAGGCGCATTGAGTCCCGAGTGCGGGCGGCCACAAAGCTGTATGGCGGAAAAATCATGTCCTTGAACTCGCCAAAGTCACACTCGTCCTTGACATTGATTTCCTTGTAGCAGTCATCGTGGTAGCAGCGCTGGCACCAGGCACAGCGCCATCCATACAGTCCCGGATCAGTGCTAGCATGATGATCCACTTCATCACCACAGGCAGAGCAGTTGATTCCCATCGGCAGATTGCCGTGGACCCACAGATGCCGCACGGAGGTCTCGTTGCGCAACCATTTATCCTTGCATCGATATCCTCTGTCCGCCTGGCGCTGGCATACCGGCGTTGCGTGCGTGCATAGGCCGCAGCAGTCGCAGAAGAGTCCTGCCGAGGGTGTCATCAAAATCTCGCATACATTACAGAAGCAGGCCTGCGATTGAGAGAAATTGTCAGTGCTCGTGGATGTGTGCAGAGGGGTGCTGGCAACAAGTGAGCACACGCACCTGCTCGATGATTTTTATTGATTTCCAGCTATGACGTGACTTCCCCGATAATATGCTAATGACAACATCTTCGGCCAGAATGCTGCGACAGAACGCAAAGAGCACGCCCAGAGCCAGCAACGAGCCAATGAGCGCTTCCACGCTCAGGTCAATTGCGGCAATGTCCATGGTGCGTGCACAAAATCCCTTAATTATGCTAAAAAATTGCAGTTTTCGGCATTTTCACGATTCGTTTGTTTTTCTTCAGCCAACATCCCGATACCGACTGCTAATTACCTGTCAGTGCTGAGACGGCTGTTTTCCTAATCTGGCTATTTCCGCTACAATCGAATAGCTAGATTAAGTTAACTAGGTTACAGTATTAACGAGTAATTGCCGATTTAATTAATATCATACTATTTAATTTTAAATTACACTTTGTAGCTGTAAATAGACTCTTTCTATCTATATACATATATGTATTCAAAATATTTCACGGCTTCTAGCAGTTTTATAGCTGGCAGCACAAACAGTGTCGGTTCGCTCTGTTGTAGTGTTGCAAAGTACTCGCTGTCTTTTGAGCGGCGCACGTGGAGCAAAATCAAAGAGCTCACGTTTTTATTTTGTTTCTGCTCAAAAATTAAAGAAATTTAGTTAAAAGTATGGGTCGCAAGGCTGAGTTCGATGACAAACCGAAGAAGGGACCTGGCCGCAAGGCGCGCAAACAGGGCGCACCCGTATTTCGCAAGCAGTCTTTTGGTAAGTAATGTTGAAATGCCCCGCTGAAGAGTTTGCTTATTTGAAGAATTGTATCGTGCAGCTCCCCAGGAAGAGGAGGATAAGAAGCTGTCTCACCGCCAGAAGCAGCGTGTCGTCAAGCGTGAGCAGAAGAAGGTTGTGCAAAAGGCTAAGATACAGGAGAAGCGTGCAAAGGGGCAGCAAAAGCAGCTGGCTCAACGACAAAAGAAATACAATAGCGACAGCGAGCCCGAGGATGAGGTGGAGCCTCAAGAGGCATCCTCAGACGAGGAGGTTCCACAGCTTGTACCAGCCGGCAAACTACAAAAGGCTTCTGCTACCAAGGGCTTCACAGATGAAAATGACGATTGGCTAAAGCCGAAGAAGCAGCAGAAATTGAAAAAGCTCCCACAGCCGGAGCCAGATTCGGAGGAGGAGTTGGAGGAGGACTCTGACGCTGATTTGGAGGCGGAAAGTGGTCAGGAAGATGACTCAGACGCGGAATCGGCTGAAGACGTAGATGACGACGAGCAGGAGATTGAAGAAGATTCCGATGAAGATGATGCTAAAGTTGGCAAGTTGGCAGATCTGTCCGACGATGATGATGAGGCCAACTCTGATGACGACTTTGATATATCCGGTGATGAAGGTGCCCAAGAAGGTAGTGGTAGCGATGATGATGAGGACGACGACGAGGATGATGATGACGATGACAAGCTTCCCATTGAACGCGCCAATAAGAAGCTGAAGAAACGCGAGGCCAAAGAAGCCCAGGAGGCAGAAGAGGAAATGCAAATGACAGTGGATCATCAGGATGTGTTTCAGCTGCCGACCGAAGAGGAGGAGGCCGAGAAAGAAATCACCTTACAGGACGTGCAGCAGCGCATCAAGGACGTCACCCTGGTCCTGTCCGACTTTAAGAAATATCGTCAGGCTGATCGCTCCCGCAGCGAGTACATCGATCGGCTGCGCCAGGATCTTTGTCTGTACTATAGCTACAATGATTTCCTTATGGAAAAGCTTATGGATATGTTCCCTCTGAGCGAGCTCATGGAATACCTAGAATCATCAGAGGTGAGTAACCATCACCGCAGGAGACTGGAATGAAGCTTAACCAATTTATCCTTCCTTCTAGGTGGCCCGTCCGCTAACAATCCGTACGAACACGCTGAAAATACGCCGCCGGCAGCTGGCCGGCGCCCTGATCAATCGTGGCGTAAATCTGGATCCCCTGGGCAAGTGGACCAAAGAGGGCTTGGTAATCTTCAACTCTCAGGTGCCGCTGGGTGCCACTCCGGAGTATCTGGGCGGTTATTATATGATCCAGGGCGCCTCCTCGATGCTGCCAGTGATGGCGCTGGCCCCGCAGGAGAACGAACGCATTCTGGACATGTGCTCTGCTCCGGGCGGGAAGGGCTCCCACATTGCGGCCGCCATGAAGAACTCTGGCGTGCTTTTTGCCAACGACTCCAACAGGGATCGCATCAAGGCCGTTGTGGCCAATTTCCATCGGCTGGGAGTTGTAAATTCTGTCGTGAGCTGCGAGGACGGCACCAAGTTCCGTAAAATAATGACCGGCTTCGATCGTATCCTGCTGGATGCCCCCTGCACTGGAACTGGTGTCGTGTCCAAGGATCCTAGTGTGAAGACGACGAAATCGGATGTGGACGTGCAACGCTGCTACAATCTTCAGCGCAAGCTTCTCCTCACCGCCATCGACTGTGTGGATGCCAAATCATCGACCGGTGGCATCATTGTGTACTCCACCTGCTCTGTGCTCCCCGAGGAAAACGAGTGGGTCATCGACTATGCGCTGAAGAAGCGCAACGTTAAGCTGGTACCCACTGGACTTGACTTTGGCGTTGAGGGCTTCACCAAGTTCCGGCAGCATCGGTTCCATCCCAGCTTGAATCTGACCAAGCGCTATTATCCACACACCCACAACATGGACGGCTTCTATGTGGCCAAGCTGAAGAAGTTCTCCAACACGATACCCATAACCAAGGAGCAGCAGGAGGAGGACGAGAAGCAGCTCGATGAACCCATCGAAGGCGAGACCACAACTGAAGCAGCAGAAGCTAAGGAAGCGGCTGAGGATGCAGAAGAAAATGCGGATGCGGAAAAGGCTCCTCGCAAGCTTCTGGGCAAGCGGGCCGGCAAGCCAAGCCTCACAGATATTGACCTGGATCTGAAGAAAAAGAAGCTCGAGGCGAACAAAAAGAAGTATGTGGCCAAGGTATTCGAGAAGCCCGTCAAGGTGGCCAAGACCCCAAAGCCAGAGCAACCCCAAGAGACGAACGGTAAACCGAAAGCTCAAAAGAACGAGAAGCCCCAGGAGGCGACCGGTGCACCGACGGGCCAAAAGAAGGAGAAGCGCCTTGAGAAGAACGGAACACCGAAGGCCCAAAAGAAGGAGAAGCCCCTAGAGAAGAACGGACTACCGAAGGCCCAAAAGAAGCAGGAGTTCAAGGCAGCGCAGGCTAATGGGAAGGGAAAACCATCCAAACCGGATGCCGGTAAGAAGTTCCCTTCTCAGTCCAATGGCAAAGCGTCTCCTGGAAAGCAGTCTCCAGCAGCACCCAAGCCCGAAGCGAAAAGGTTCCAGCCAAAGGACAAGAAGGCCAAAGTCAATCAGCAAACAGCTAAGCCAGCAGCAAGTGCCAAAGCAAACGCCAAACTGGCCAAGGCCCCGCGTATCGACGCTGACGATGTGCCCGTGCTGGAGGGCAAACCCATCAAAAGGCAGAACAATCTGAAGCAGAAGTCCAAGCAGATCGGACAGCTGAAGAAGTCAAAGACGGGAGCAAATCCAAATCCCAGAGGAGGCAAAGGCAAAAAGTTCAAGAAGTGAACACTATAAATCATACAAGTCGGTTAAGTAGTTGGTTAAGTGTAGGCCTGAAGCCTAGTCAAATGGTTGGGGGGTAGTCCCAGAGGCTGTCTCTGAATACCCCCAAAACGATGATCTGTTTTATACCGCGAACTGTTTCTATTGCCTTGGCTACGGTTTGAAGATTGTGAACTAAAACGTTGCTTGTAATTAACGAACATATTCAATAAACGTTAAGCTCGGATTAATGTAATCAGAAAGCGGGTTTTTCCACTGCAAATTTGCATCGATCAGGCCTAAGGCTTTAGTTGTTTGTATATAGCGATATATCCATTCCAGCCCTAGTCCAAGCTCCAGCTGGGCGTTACCCCCTCAGCAGAACAGATAAAGCCGTCTGGCATGCTTTAGTCATGGTCAGCCGAGCATGGAGATAAGCTTCAATTCTCATACACATTTCAGTGGCAAGCGAGTGAACAACATGAAATGGTGCTGGAATCTGCTGTGTTCCTTCCTTCTGCTGGAATTGGCTCCCATCCAAGCGTTTGTGGACATAAACATGCTCACGGCTCTCCAGATACATAAGAACCTCAACGGATCTGAAGATCCCTGCAGGAATTTCTGGAACTATGCCTGCGGTAACTATTCGGCAGCTAATGGCACCAAATATGTGGATAACTTCCAACTGGTTGAGGATCTGTACGCCCAGGCCATGGTGGAGTTCATGGAGAGTGAGGGAGAGCTCATCGAGAGTGATTTGGTATTGAATGAAGAACCAGCGGCGCGACTGTTGGCCCAGATGCGAGCCTACTACAAGGCCTGCACCAAGGATCAAGAGATAGACTGGTCAGAGGCAGATCTCCATTCGCTGGAGCCCAACGATTGGGCGCTCGAAACGGCTAAGTTCCGTAGACACGGATTGAATGCAGTGTTCTTTGACGAGCGCGTAGATGTCGAAACCAACGATTCGCTGCGTCCGGTGGTGCAGCTCAAGATGCCCGCTCTCAGTAACAACTACAGCGAGCGACGTGCCCTGCAGGTCCTTCAACGCAATCACTCTGGAAGCGTAGAAGGAATCTCCAGGCTGGTGGATCAGCTGCGGCAACTGGAAGCTAAGCACCGCCAAGAGGAGCCTCTGGTACAGTCCTGGTCCTTGGCCGATCTCACGCAGAACATACCAGAGATCAATTGGCAAGGTTACTTTCATGAGCTGTTGTCGGGGCATCTGGAGGGGGTGCTTTTCGAGGTCAGCGATGTGGATTACTTGCGTGAGCTTGGTCAGCTTTTGAGCAATACCAGTAGAAGCACCATTAATCTCTATCTCCGACTGCGTCTCACCGTTCTGCTGAAGCAGTCGGCACCAGCCATGCGCAACCCCAAGACATGCATTCACCACATGCGGGCCCTGCTCCCCTTGGGCATGAACTACCTGTATAAACGCCATGTGTACAGGCACAGGGATTTGTTGGACACCAAACAGCTGCTGCTGATCTTCGATAGCCTCAAGATTATGTTCGGCAGTTACTTGAATGCCAATCGCCTGCAGCTAAGTGCAGAACAACTGTCTTATGTGATGAAAAAGCTGGGGGCTATGAAGCTGCGAGTGGGGAATCTTCCAGAGGAGACGTCACATACCTTCTACGATAGCCACTATGAAAGCGCCAATTTCTCGGACTCCCTCTTTCTGGGGAACATCCTCGAGGCCTTGAGTCTGCGCACCCGACTCCAGCACGATGCTCTCCGGCTTCCACACTCCCGATTGGACCTGCACCGCTACTATGTCAACGATGATGTGGTCAAGGCCCGTACCTCCCCCTTCTACGAGAACGAGCGGAACACGATCACTGTGCCCCTGATCTTTCTGCAGTGGCCCCTCTTCGATAGCCGCCAGCACCATATCTTCCAGTTCAGCTTGATAGGCGGTGTCCTGGCCCATGAGCTGACCCATGCCTTCGAACAGGAGGGCATTCTCTTCGATGCCGATGGCAATGAGTCGCCTGTGGGATTGCAGATTCGCGAGACGAAGGGCTTCCAGAACGCCATCAAATGCGCTGCCCGAACGCCAGCAGTGTCGCTTAAGGAACGTCTGGCCGATCTCAATGGCCTCCAGCTAGCCTACGATACCTTTTTTGGGCCGAACCACAACTCCCAGAAATTCGAATATCGTCCCTATGCATTTGAGAGCGAATTCAAAGCACCGCAGCTGTTCCACCTGAGCTACGCGCAGTTCTTCTGCGGCATCCTGCCGCCGGTGCTCGGTCATGATAGGGACGATGTGCGTGTCAATTTGAGCGTTCGAAATTTACGTCAATTCTCGTTGGATTTTAAGTGTCCCCCGCCAGCAGTGCAGTCGCCCCCTGTGTGTGAATTGTGGCGCCCAATATAATCATCTACTTTGGTGTCAGTTTAAGTTTTGTCTCGAATGCATTTAAATATCTAAAAAGTAATACAATGTTCAAGCTGATCGACAGCGCGATGCCATGTAGTTTTAGAATACAAGAAAATTGTGTGATTATTTGACAATTAATAAATTATAGGTCAATCGCCAGGAAAGCTCAACCGATCCAGAGATTGCTCTGCCTCTCTCTCTTTCTCTCTTTCCCTTGGCTAACAGTAACCAGTCACATTTCTTTATCACCAATGACTAGGGTATCAAAAGTATTAATTCTTGGAAAATTGGACAAAACTCATTGATAGCCCCATTCAATTTGATTGTCCATTGCATTTGACAGGTTATGGCTTCGCTGCAATCGGCGACTGTCTATTGCGCTATTGGAATGCTAATGCCACACAAAATGCCGGTCTCAGCGAGAGCTTTTCTGCTCTCCCTCAGCGGTAGAGCGCCTCTCGTTTATGGTAGAGCCACAGAAGGTAGGGACAACTCAGAAACCTGAAGCTTATATGAGATGTTTAAGCTCCCCGAAGAGCGGTATGGACGTACCTTCAAAAGTTCTACCATGCTCACATTTTTGCACCTCTCTCTATGAGCAAAGCTTTTCAGCCATATAGCCACAAGTTGTTGTGGGTGGGCCGCCACCGGTGTATCCTCTGCCCAGTGTCTTGTCTGTTCGTGTCTGTAGCTCTCTTTCTTTGTTCTCTCTCTCCCTCTTGTTTTTCTTTACCGTTGGCAAAGCTCTGCCTTCCATTTTCAGTGGGGCCGCATTAAGGCACTGTCTTTGGCCGCCATTGGCCGCGTGTGGTCGGAGTCGTTTTTGTCGTCGCTGTTTTGGTCACAGTTCGTAATCGTAATCTCGTTGGCGCTTTGATTATCTGCCAGCGCAGCCTCCGCAGCATCCCCAAGCCTGAGCAGAAGCGCCGCGGGCTTTAATTCTGTTTTCGTCACTGATTTTGTTATTCCGGATTCGGGTGGCTAATTAGGAACCAAAACATGATGCTTTAAGTGTGGTGTTGTATTCTTCTTCCAAACTAAACGTTTTTCCCCAAGTCTCAAATGTGTCATTCCCTAATGTCTCCGCGTGTGTGTGTGTGTTAAGTAATGCAAACAAATAAATGATAATGATAAAAAGGCGATAAACGTTTAAAGCTTTAAAAAAGAAATAAATAGTCTAAAAAAAGGCCAGAAGCAGAAGCTCATCTACAACAACAAAAATCAAATCAAATCAAATCAAAACCCCATGTGAGTGCGAGGGAGGGGTCGCTAATTTTGGCATTTAACAGTTAGTTTTTGAGCCTAGCCATGACCCTCAAGATAGCAACAACAACAGCCACAAACAAAAAGTGAATCCAGACCAAAAAAATAAGATCCATTCCTCACCCACGGCATAACGAATCAAGCAAACACCCGACCAAGTGCCGACCCTCCCCTACCCGGACATCTTCGCGAAGAACACCAGGGTACCTACCCAACAGATCCGAGCAGGCGTCGATCACTTAGCAGCTTGCTCCATTAGCAGACAATGCCCGGGTCCGCAAATAGACTTTAAATTGAAGAATAAACGTCTGATTAGACCCAAAGATGCCAGCCCGTCAGATTATCCATACATTCGTCCATTTTTCTGCTCGTCAAGTGCCGAAAACAACATTTCTGCGTGTGGATGTTTCTAGTTTCGCATTCACTGGACTTTGTCGGAGAATACTCTCAGACTCCCCGTATATGCAAATCCTGCTCCATTTGCATATTTACGACTCTAAGGGACGAGTGTGGAACACCGACGTGATTGGGGGGAAACGTGTCCTGTGAACCTGCATCTCCCTACCTCTGGAGCATCCAGTAACCTCTGAACTATCTCCGAATGGGATTATTCTAGCAATTAATTCTCTTCCGGCGAGCAAACAGAATTGCAATATTTGTGCTGCAAATCTCATGCATATTCCAGATTTTAGCCCCCCGCCCACTGCCACAGTGTTTTTCTTTATTTTTGTTGACCAAAGATAAACGAATGCAACAGCCAGCGGCACCACATCCCCCGAACTATACCCCCATACGCCCCATCCAGAAACCAAAAATAAACAGTACGTACAAAAAATAGACACTGTTCGAAATGCACAAAAACAATGCTAAGAATTGTTCTTGAATTGGAATTGTTGGGTAAATAGGAAAATTTAATTATACTCGAGTGTAAAGAGGGTGCACAGGTAGGAAAGGGGTAAGAGAGGGGGTTTGCCAATTGGCAAATGGATTTGTCGAGTGCACTCCAAGCTTGCTTCTCCTCCTCCTCCTCCACGTTTCAGGTGAGTTTGCGTTCGATCGGCTCTCACCTTAAATGCAGTTTTTATGTAGTCATTAACCCCCCCACTTCTGAGCCCATCTCTGGTACAGCTCTTCCCCCCCAACGAGCCCCCCCCCCTGGACTGTTATTTAATTGCCTTTTCTTAATAAATATTGACTGCTGGTAACCCACGTTAAGGGTAGTTTTCTTAATGCTGGGCGGATGAAAACCGATGAAAATGCTCCACCCACTGCTACCTCTTTTGCTTCTACTGGTGGAGCTGGAGCTCTCCTCTCGCTTTTCATTGTAGCAGAGATTGTCTGCTTGTACTCGTAAAACAGATAAAACAAACTTTAAAAGCATGAAACTCATGAATTTTTGAAATTATATTCATGTTTATGTATCTCCTACACCAGTGTGTGGGTGTGTGTGTGTGTGTGTGTATGTGGGTGGTATTATCTGGCATGTGTGTGTGCTCTCACACTGCAACTGGCATTAAAATGCCCGCAGTCTCTGTTCGAAAAACTTGTCGGAAAATTGCAAATGAAAAGGAAAATATTGTTGTTTTATTTCGTATTCTTGGGTTACTTTAAACAACTTTTCCCCGCAGCCACCAGACAACTTTACAATTCCCCCATCCAGAATCCCTGCCCTTCTCAGCGACGCCCCCAGCCAGAGGATGTTCAAAAAGAATCTTGGGAATTTTTTAGGCCCGTTGTAAGGCAATAAAATTAGTAAGCATATGAAATGAAGTCGTCTGGCAACGCGGCGTATTCTTGATGCTCTTCGGGAATCCTGTTGCTCATACGGCCCGTAAGCCCCCAGTTACAGTTTTTTCTTTCGCGTTTTTTTCTGTTCTGTTTGATTTTCCTTTCCTTTTAATTTTATTTTAATTTGTAAACTTTTCCGTGTGCACCTGTACATATATGTGGGTGTGTGTGTGTGTTTCTTGGCTTTGACTTTCTGTTTCTGTTTTCTCTTCCCACGGAGATGACCACCAAAACTGTCTGTGGATTGAGGCAGGCGGGCAGCAGTTGCCCATAGGAAATATATTCCTATTAATATGCCTTTATACGGGGGAAAACCTCATAACATCGATACCATACGCGCTTGAATGCGCTTGCCATTCGATTCGATACGATTTGATTCGTCTGCCAGCTGCTGTCATTGTCGTCATCGTCGTTGCTGCTGCCTCAAACTGCTGCACGCTTCGCTGGACACGTCCGTTCATTCATAAAGTTGCCTCCACGTCCCGGTGCCCGTTTTCAATATAGTTATTTACTTTTCTATAATAATTTTTTTACGTTTCGACTGACATATGGCATTGGCTTATGGACACTTAATTGATACGCCCCCCGATAGTACCAGCACACTGGGAGAAATTCCGGGAGAAGCGGTGGCGAAATCCTCCGCTATCTCTGATGAGGCGGCTGCCGCTGGATTGCATGTCCGTTTTTGCCAGCCACCGGCGCCGAATGGCAATCCATTTCAATTTGTTTTGACACTTTGTAAACCATCGAAGGCGCAGCGGGGCGGAAGATATAACGCATACGCCCTGCTGCACTCAACCGATCTCGACTGAACAGACTGGAGCTGGTCAATAATTACATTAAACCCAACATTTTCTGTTGTTTATTTGCCCGTTCCGGCGGCTAATTGTTGCGCATTAGAGGCCACAAATGAGACGCAACCCGGAATTTGAGGCCTCAAATGAAATGATGATCACTCCAGTGGATGATAATCAAGATCTGCGACTGGCACACACGCACGCGCTCGTCCAAATATTGCGCTTGTTTGCCAGCAATCTCATAAATAAATCTCCAGGCCTGCTCCTCCTTCTCTTAAGATGCTGGTCCGTGACTCTCTTTTGCTCTTTTACGCCAGATGTTGGCCATTTCGGCAGTCGGGCGGGGGGACTGAAGTCAAATATTTGATCTACCATACAATGGGCCGGAGGCGGAGGTGGCGGAACGCGTGCCGGCCACTGTGGATAGTTGAGGTGGCAGGCAGACAGCAATGTGTTGCCCCTGCCAACGTTTCTGCCAGCCTCTCCTTGGGCCTGCCACACAGATCAAAGCTGGTTATGGGGCGACTAAATATAGACTATAATTAGGCAGTGAGTGCATTGCGTGCAGTCTCCACTTTCACCCCCCCATCTCCAATGACATACCAGCCCGTGGCATGTTTATCCCCCTGCTGTGACATTGACAAAGCTCTACACCGCCTCCAGAGCAGGCAAAGAGCAAAGAGCATGCCACGCAAAGAGCAAAGTGTATTTGTTCATTAATAAATAACTTGACACTCGTTGCTTTAATCACTGTAGCATCCCCCATACCCATTCCCATCCCCATCCCCATCCGCACGATGCTGCTGCTTATGGGGCATGCTATGTACAGCAGGTTGCCAGGTGAGAGACGCACATGAGTCTTGGTTACACACATCTGTCACAGCATCTTTTATCTCAATTATACAGATAAAACTACCATTTGGTCCCTTGACAATCTTAATTGCTTCTATTTCTGCTTGGTTTAGTACCTGAAAAAGTTCTCGATGACGGTGTGGCGGAGGGGCTTATGCATGGCCAGATATCGTAATGTTGCAAGGAAAAGTTTAGGAAATACTTAAGGGAAGATAAAATTGATGGTTCCTTCAATTGAACGCTGAATACTCGTTCTGTGACTACCTTAACTCATTTCCAACAGGCCGATTAGTTTTCGTGTGATTATCTCGTTCAATCGAATGTACAATCGTAGTCCCATTTTTATAGTCTATTGTCCCATTTTAATCACTCTCGAAAATCAGTTCATGGGCACGAGACGCGTGCAAACAATCAATCTCCATTACGACAATTTGCAGAGTAATTTCCTGTAAAACATTGAGGTGGGGTCCCAGGTGTGTTAAGCGTACAAAAAAACTATAAAGACAGATGAAGTGGAACGATGTGCATTTGTCAGCTCCCCGGTGCAGATTTCCCCCTTTCCTACTCAACGCGGTTCTGGTTCCGTCATCCATAAAGATGGCTATAAACTTATCTGGCGTTTATCTGAGTTCCACTCCCACACTTTCACATCTAGTCACGAGATTTCGGCATGCACGGTGTATTATTTGAAAAGATTTAATGGTCGTAATTTTGTATAAACGAAGAGCCAAGGTTTCTGGGCAGATATATTTAGACATGGCCATATACTATATATGAATGAGGCTTTTAAAAAAACAATTCGAAACTCCTTCAGATCGAACAGTTTCTAGTCATGGGAATTCCATCTCCAGTCTAACACAAAGTCTGACCTCGTTGAGTCCTGGTACGGAATATATGCCTGCTCCTCCATTCCCTATTTATTTTCTCCGAGTGTAAAATATATGTATGTATAGCATATCTTTCCTATGTATTGTACGCCTTGGTCTGGTTCCCTCTGATTTTTCGGTTCGCTTCTTTATTTTATCAGATAATAAGATATCTTAATATCGTACGAAGAACGCTGGTTTACTTTTTCCACACTCTTGTGGCGCTTTATTTGAACAGATTCGCATTTAATTGCGCAGCGCCCGGCGGAGAGAACAGAGGAAAACAGAGTCAAAGTGGGAGTGGAAGTGGGATTAGAGTTCAGGACCACAGACGCCTCCATTGACAGCTTCTGTTGCAGCTTCAGGTGCGGGAATTCGTGAAACGAGAGGATTGCCTCGTAAGCAGCAGCAGCAGCCGGAGCCGCAGGAGCCACTAACCAACAGAAGAACTCATATTGCAACATTGTGTAGCCTCCTCATCTGCTAATAAAAGACCGTAAATCATCGAAGGATCCAGTTCCACCCACCGCCCATGGCTGACGACGATTTGCGGGCTCTGGTGGACAGCCTGGATGACGCCTCGCCGGAGAACCTGGCCAATGTCATAGCCAACTTCTCGCTGGATATGCTGCAGAGGGCGAGCGCCCTAATTGGCGCCCAGCAGCCGCACAGTGGGGCGCTGCTCATCAATCGCACGCAACAATGCCAACAGCAGAGCCAACAGGAGGATGAACTGGAGGCCACAGTCACGGCAGCAGCAGCAGCGGCAGGTGGCAAGCGGGTGAGTTTCCGTAGAAAGGGAGGTTGCGTGTGGTTTAGGATAATCGAAAGTTCCCCTAATAATAGTCTTTCAATCGAGTATTGTTTAAGGTATAATTAAGAAAAAATCCATTTTTCCATCTTTAAGCCTTTCAATCTATCGGCTTATCCAGAATCTCTTCGCAATATGTTTATTTCATGCAGATATCATTGAAAATTCCATTAGCCAAGCAACTTTCTATAAATCTATCACTTGATCAGGGTATCAAAACACTTTTCAATCCACTTCTCAATCTATTTTCTTAATTAATGAGTTTCTTTTTTTTCTAACGTAAAGTAGCCATCTTTCAATCTTCCAATCCTCCAGTCTCTAGCGTATTCATAATATTTTTATGTAGAACCGATGAAAGGCTTTCCATAATTTCGATCGAAAAACTTTAGCCAACAATTTAGCTTCCGGCAAATGGAACAGAAAATGATTTATATATATATTGCTCTGTTCCACGAATATATACAAAATGAAACTGAGGAAGGAAAAACCCACTTGAGGCGGCATGCGGAATTTCTGTGAGCTTTTAATTGGCAAAACGAATGGAGACCTATGGAACAGTTCCAAAGATAAATGAATGAATGAATGAATACAAATATATAGTATAATTATCACTCTCTATTCATCGTTTGTTTGCTTTGGTCGTTGACATCTCGTGTGTTGTCGCGTGGCTAAGCTCGAAACCAAAAGGAAAAAACACTGTAGCTTCCAGCTTATCACTAGAATGGACAATTTTCAATGGACTTTCAATTTCCGGACATGTGGAGCCCGTGATGTCGTATAGACTCGTGCTGTTCGACTGATAAGATCAATTAATAAGCTAAATATACATACATATGTCTATCAAATGAAAGGCCACCCATTCGATTGTTGGGAATCATTTCTGCATTTAGAGAATTTACTGATGTTATATATTAATATAGCATATATTTGTATATACCAATACATATGGAAATTTATAGCACGCAATTGGAAATATATAAATAACCTCGTAGATACCCATACCCCACGGCGGGTAAGGCAACATTTTTGTTTAGATATAGTAGATACCACCTACTATATATGTACATATGTATATATGTGCTTTATATCTATGGATGTCTGTGCTGGGAAATTCAATTGATAAATAGAAAAGATTTGCGTACAATCTAGAGGCACTGCAGAAATATGTACAATCTTTAATATCCGATATAGGAAAAGGTCGTTTTCGTTTTGTAAGGGAAATCGAATGTCTGTCGTAAACTCTGTCTGGAGTATCCTTCCCACAGATGTTTCCTCTTCATTAATATATGTACATTGTACCATCTGCTATATCTTACAGATCTTACACTGTCCCAGCGCATTCGATTCGGTGCTGTGTTGGCCACGCACCAAAGCCGCCACCCTGGCCGTGCTGCCCTGCTTTGAGGAGTTCAAGGGCGTGCACTACGATACCACAGGTGAGGGCTGATCGCAGAGACAATCCAATACTCCAATGCTAGTTGAGAACTCTAATTAGATCTACCTTTATGTTGCCAGAGAATGCCACGCGATACTGCTTCGAGAATGGGACCTGGGATCATTATTCGGACTACGATCGCTGCCACCAGCAGTCAGGCTCCGTGCCAATGGTTCCTGATTTCTCCCCCAGCGTGGACCTGCCGGCCATTATCTATGCCTGTGGATACTTCATCAGTTTTGCCACCCTGGTGGTAGCCCTCATCGTATTCCTTAGCTTTAAGTGAGTCCCACCAATACACAACAAATAAATGATCCTGTACTTAAACCCAGTTCCATCTTTGCCAGAGACTTGCGCTGCCTGCGAAACACGATTCATGCGAATCTATTCCTCACCTACATCACCTCCGCTCTGCTGTGGATACTCACGCTGTTCCTGCAAGTGGTAAGCAGATTGCTATATGCTATAGGTACAGATATATGCACTATGTATGTCTCAGATAACCACGGAGTCTAGTCAAGCTGGCTGCATTACGCTAGTCATCATGCTGCAATACTTTTACTTGACCAACTTTTTCTGGATGTTCGTCGAAGGTGAGTTGCATGAGGGGAATATCCGTAGTTACGAGTGTGATATATATAGCCGGTTCCCTTCCCTGTTCAGGCCTCTATTTGTACACCCTGGTGGTGCAAACATTCTCCAGCGATAACATCAGCTTTATTATCTATGCCCTCATTGGCTGGGGCTGTCCCGCTATATTCATTATGGCCTGGGCCATAGCCAAAGCGTTTGCCCCCCATCTGGAGAATGATCATTTCAATGGGGTGAGTACTGCTATACCATCCCATTTATCTTAATTCTTTCTTTGGTTCTGGATTCAGCTGGAAATCGACTGCGGATGGATGCGAGAATCTCACATTGATTGGATATTCAAGGGGCCCGCCTCGGTGGCTCTGCTTGTTAACTTGGTATTTCTCATACGCATCATGTGGGTGAGTGTACAATCCTCAAGGTTTCCCAAGATCTGCCACTAAGCTTCTGTACTATTTAAGGTGCTCATTACCAAACTCCGTTCGGCACACACCCTGGAGACGCGGCAGTATTACAAGGCATCCAAGGCCCTTCTAGTGCTCATTCCCCTCTTTGGGATCACCTACCTGCTGGTCCTCACTGGCCCCGAACAGGGTATCAGTCGCAATCTCTTTGAGGCCATACGGGCATTTCTCATCAGCACACAAGTATGGCTACAGCGTTTCTTGGAATCATGCGAATAATCTATGATATAATCCTCTAATAGGGCTTTTTTGTGGCGCTCTTCTATTGTTTCCTCAACTCGGAGGTGCGCCAGACGCTAAGGCATCGCTTCATTCGTTGGCGCGAGAGTCGGAACATCCATCGGAGTAGCTCCATCAAGAACCGCAGGTGGGTCTTGGCAAATGCTATAGGCGCGCAGTGTTGCACTCACATTTGGTATCCTAACGCATTGGTGTTGTCGGTCTTCTACTATATCCATTCATTTGGGCTTTACACATGACACTATAAGTACATAAGTTTATACGTATAGCAGATGTGGCTGCTTCTGTTTTAGTTTTAGTTGTAGCTCTTCATGTTGTCGTCGCTGTTGTCACTTAACCAATTAATTTCCATTCCAGGCATCGCGCCTCCAAAGACTACTCGCAGAGATCGCGAACCGAAAGTCTACGGTGCGTATACGCAGTGCAGTGCTCATGTAGATGCTTTCTCCTTTCTCTATCTTCTGTTCAATTAACCCCCCTGCTCGTTTAATCTGCTAACACACATGCCATACCATAGATATATCCATAGCCCTGCAGAGTATCGTTTATAGTAGGGCATCTGCAGGGCTATGCCAGAGTACGCCCTAAGCGCCAGTTCTTTATCATTCCTTATTCCTGATTTCGGTTTTCCTGTTCTGTTTATCGTTTTCTTATAGACTGACCTCAACAAGTCCCGTACCCACCGGACACTATGAATGATCGATCACCACACACACAAAAGCCACAAACCACAAACACACACACCGATCTATGTACACTATACAGAGATTTCCTCCTATCCTACAATTGTACATACATCAGTACACGTTAAGCGCCATAAAATATCCTATTGTTCATAAGTATCGCATGATATACGTAGTTAGCCGTAAGAGCACAAATTAAAGTATTATATTTTGTATAAAAATGATTCGCATTCCCAAATTCATCGCTCCGCATCCCTTCCTCTTTGAATCCCCACTTTCAGCACCGAAGAGTGTGTGATCTGTCTGCGTCCCACGCCGCACACTCGCCTGGCGACACAGGAACAATACCACAGCATCAATATTACCGATTTTGTTTAGGAACTACAAGTACATATATTCAAATGTATGAATCTTTTGTAGAACTGGTCCAGTCCTTGCTCTCCAGCCAGGCGTGCTCTTCGGTTTCAATTGTTCATTAATTTCTGGTCCGGAATCCTGACTGTCGGATCACCTCAACACTCGGCTTCAGGGTTTCTTCTGATGGCAGTGTCACGCTCTGGAAGACTGTTCCTAAGTGGAGAAACGAAACACTAGTTTAAGCAAGTTGTTGCCTTGGGTTATGGATTCAATGGGCGAACTTGCCATGAGGCAAAGTTGAAGCAGCAAAGGCAGTCCCTATAGCTGCTGCCATATACAAATATATACAGTATACAAGTTCAGGAAACACCAAAGACGGACATGCACCTGCTTTACTTTGACTTTTAGTTTATTTCCGAACATGACTTGAAGTTACAGCAAAAGTTAAGGTTAAACTAAAAGATATTCATGATGGTCCGATCTGATGCCAAAAGTCTATCTTAAGTACGAAAACATGTTGGTAACATGGGGAATTAACGTCATTCCGAATGTAGATATAGCGAAAAGAAAACGAAACCCAAAACACTGTGAAGGTGGCCCCAACCATTTGACCCATTTTAGTATACATTCTAAAATTAGCTACTAATTGTCTAGTTTTATCAATTATGTGCCAATGCGTGCAAAAATTTTTGTCGTAACGATTAATTGTTAATAATTGTTTTAAATTCTAAGTTTCTTGCGTTTTAGCATTTTGTTTTTTCCTTTTTTGTTTAGTTTTTCTTAAGGTCACATTGTTTATATCACTGAAAATCTAATTTAAATCTAATTAAAACTTAGAGTAAAACAAATATAGTGAAATTAGTGAAATCAAAAATAATGTAAGAAACAAGTGGGGAGAAATATCATTTTGCTGTCACCTTAAACATAATAATTGATGTTCTGCGAATAAAGCTTGTTCAAAATATCAAAAAAGTTTTGTCATTTTTCAATTCTAGTGGTTCTAAGATCCTATATACTTATAAGCCTACATGTATACATACATGTAGAATTTAGTCCTATGTCTGTATGTGGTTGTGAGTGTGAGTGTGTGTATTGATGCGTATGAAATCTACAATTAAAAACTATGAACGCTTAATGGTAATCGTTTCCCTATATCGGTCATGTCTGCCTGTATCCGATCTACATATGTATGTATGTCTGTCTATATAATGTGTGCGCTATAATTCGATTTGAATTGTACTAAGTATGTGTGTGGGTGTGTGAATGTGTTTTCTATCGAAAAGAAATTCGAGTCATGGTTTATGCCAGAAACCATTTCATACAGTCGCTTCCTGCTACTCCTGTAAACTGCCGCACAACTTCTGCGAAGCTTGGTTGTATCTTTCGCGTCCTTCTTCCTTTCTTATATAAAATAACAATTCGCTATAAACTAACTAACGCACATGTCGGGAGTATTGGGGGATCGGGGGTGTTTGGATTGGGATTTACTCATCTTAAAGGTAGTATCAAATGCATTCGCCAGGATTCTGGGCACAATATTTGGGGAACAGGGCCTCCGCCTTGATTCCTAGCTCGACGAGACGGGTGCGAAACAGCGATATGCGGCGGAACACCTCCGGGGCCATAATATCCAGATCATGATCATCGCTGGGATCCGACCACAGGCGCTCGCCCAGGGCACCGGCACGGGGCCACAGCCGATTGTCCAGCTGATTCTCGTCCACCTGCTCCGTCCACAGGCAGGCCTCGCCGCCCAATACCTGAAAGGAGTTTGGAGATTAGATAATGCTATCCTCCAATTGAGAAATGCCTGTAGGAACACACCTGCTTGCGCCGCTTCTTGTCCAGACGCATGCGTTCCCAGGGCCGATGCTTGTAGACGTTTTGCCAGGTGCGATAGGGGGAGCAGGCGGCCTCTCCTGTGCTCCGCCAGCTGCCGAAGCCGCAGTCCAAGTACCAGGCATCAACGTGCGAGAAGATCACGTTGTATCCATTATCCAGAAGGTCGTAGTTCTCCTGCCAAGTGCTGCCGCCCCACACCTGCACCGTGAATTGACTATTTGGAAGACACTTGGTGTTGGTCAGGGCGCTCGACCAGACGGCCAAATACTTGGGGGCCACACCATTATTGGCCAGCTTCAGCCTGTCAGAAAAGGGAATACAGATCGCTAGAAAAGTGCTAGGCTATAAGAGGGAATAAGCCACTTACCTGGCCATCGCCTGCAGCATGAAGTCGCACCACAAGCCCCGCAGATCCGTGTCGTTAAAGTACTGGGCCCAGCAGTCGAGATTCACCTCGTCGCCGCCCAGATGAAAGAGGTCCGTGGGCCCCGTCGCCTGAAGCAGCTCCTCGTAGAGGCGCTGCAGGATGAGGTAGGTGTGGTTGTTCTTCGGATTGAGCTGCCCGCACGGTGGCTCTCCGCAGTAGAAGCTCCACGGCTGCTGATTGATGCACACGGCCAGCTCGCCCATGCCCCTCTTGGGCCCCCAGTCCCAGCCATTGCCGGCATGGGCCGGTGCATCGATCTCCGGTATTACCTGCACGCCATGGATCTTTGCAAAGTCGGCCACCTCGCGCACATCCTGCTCCGTGTACGTCTCGCCCTCCGAGTAGGCCCCGTGCTCGGCCAGCTCCGGATAGTTGCGCGAGATATACGGAAAGCTCTGCGCATCTGTCAGATGCCAGTGGAAGCGATTCAGCTTGGACAGACCCATTCCCACGATCGTTCTCTTGATCGCCTCCACCGAGAAAAAGTGGCGTGAGGTATCCAGCATCAGGCCGCGATAGCGGAACTTCGGGGCATCCTTCACCTTGCTGTTGACGTACGTGTGCAGCAGGTGATCCTCGTCGTCGAACCAAATGAGTTGCTGCAGCGTGGAGAGGCCGTGGCGGGCCCCAAAGAACGAGTTCGCCGTGATCTCCACCTGCAGGCGGTGGCCTTCCGCTAAAAAAACAAAAGGGAGATGTTAGACGTGGCTAAGATCGGGCTACAATCCGTCTCTTACTGATGGCGGTCAGCTCATAGCTCTCATCGTTATCCAGGCTGAAGCTGACATCTCCGGACTTTTGCACGCTGATCTTCACCACCAGACTCTCCAGAACACCTGGTCGCCTCTCCCCAGAAATAGCGGCTCCTACCACATCGTTCTGCGATGCCCACGATGAGGATTCACTTTCGCCCGTCTCAGGTGGACTGGTAGCGTAGTCCAGTCTCTGGATCTGGCGCAGATCCTTGAGGAAACAGTCAAAGGCCAGCTGCAGCTGCTTCCGCACCTCCCGATGCGGTGTGTCCTGCTCCAGTTGCACAACCTCCACCGAGAAGCTGGTTGTGTGGGCGCTGACCAATGATTTGACGGTCGGTGCTGGCCAGATGTTGACGTACCCGCAGGTCATCGAGCAGGTGATGAAGGAGACACGTTTGCCGGTCTTCCCAGGATGATAGCTCACCCGCATACATCGGTCATTCTCGCATTTGTATGTCCAAAACTTCTCCACGGGTCTGTAAAACGAAGAGGAATGGGCCTCAGTCGGGCAATCATCTCCGTAATTAATATTTTGCACTCACATGGGAAAGGAGGAGCCGTCCTTGTGACTGTGGGGGCGTTCGAACGCCTCGCTGTACGCCTGTGTCTTGCTGCCACCCTGGTTCCAGTACAGCACGGTGAGGATGAAGATGGCGCCCGAGAGGAGCACCAGAAGAGCCCGGCGCAGCGACACGGCCAGTGACATCTTAAAGAGATAACGTAGGCTGTAATTAAGATGGATATCCGGTTAATAATTGGGCCCCCAAAGCAGACGTTTGTATGTAAGTGCCCCATCCATCCATTCACCCAGCGACTGACATCATCACATCACCTCACGGCAAACGAGGTTCAAGGAACCAAAACCAAACAATAAGGAACCATATTAAGGGATTGAGGGGTATGGGGGGCCACAATGGGCGTGTCTATCCGTTCCGGTCTGCTCTACTTCGCTCGAGTAACGAGGACACCTCGAACTTTAATCAATGCTCGCAACTTGGGGGCTTGACGAGCGATAAAATCAAAGGAAACCCCAAAGCAAAGCCCAGAGCCCTTGCCACATGCCACATGCCATTTAGCTCCGAATTGTTTGTCTTCCGCGACTTTCCCCCAACTCAAAGGCACAATGGGCTCTCCCTTTGGCAGCCAACAAATGAAAGGATTTCTTACACTGCATACAGCTTTCGTTTTGTGGAAGAGCAGTCATCTTTATAAAGATCCATATAAACTAGAAATTTTTTTTTCGGGTATATTTAATTGAATTTAAAAAGCAGGCTACTTTTTTTTTGGCATTGGAAGTTTAAAGACCCTTGTAATGACTCTGAGGAGAGGAAGATACAGCGGTGATGGGTATAGGTAGGACACACATACATTTGAAGGATTCGGGAGAAACCCTCTTCCTCTGCACTCCCACACCATATCCCACCTCATATAGCTCTAGCCACATCCCCATATTTTTTTATTTACATATTTCCATAGCCATAATATCACGTTTAATGCTTCCTTATCGATTTCAAATCAAATTACTTAACAAAAGAGTAAGTAAGAGACCCAGAAACACAAATATTTTAAGATTCTAGGATTTTCGTTTTCGTAATAGAAAAACGGCACTTTTAAAGTTTCCATAGTGGAGGGAACGAGGACAGGACCTTGCCACCAGTGACTGGCTGACTGGCTGACTGGTGCCTGGCACCGTATCGGATTCGGGGCGAGGGCGGAGCACACGCCCTGGCTGCGCCCCACACCTGTAACCTTTGCGTGCGACTGTGGCAATCGATGCTGGGGTTGGATCGCTTAAGGCTTCATGTGAAAATATGAAATACTTTCCCAGGACATGCAACACATGCACATACATATGTGTTATGGTAAAAAAAAATAGCAGGAATCTTGCAGAGCATGTGATATCCTGCTTTCTGGCAGTCACGTTGCCAATGCTGTTATTCTTTGGCTTGACCTACCCGTTGCCTCCACCTCCCTCCTCCACCCTCCCGCTATTTCCCCTCATTAACCATGAAGGCTGTGAATAATAAATCAACAGGCCGTACATAATTAATGCTTAAAAAACAGTGACGAGGGGGGAGGGCGAGAGCGGTGTGTGTGGTGCAAGAAGAAAGGATTGCTGTCGCTCGACGGTGACAGCCTCATTAGTTGCCACAGAAATACGACAAACGCACGCACACATGTGCACTAATTGCGGCCTGTCGAAAATATTTGTATGAAATGTAGCATACATTGCAGCGGCGACGCACTGTTTCCCTGGGATTCCCCCGCAATTCGGTTTGCCTTACCCTTGGCGCGTGCGCAGTGCCGCACTGAATGACCAGAAGCGCCAAAAACTATCCATCATCATCATCTCATGTCTGTATGTGTCTGTATGTGTGTGTGTGTGTACGGGATCCGCGTCTCTAATGAGTCACGTTTCCGCCTGCCACTGCCGCCGTCTGCTGCTGCCAACTGTTGAAAGGCTCAGGCGTGACATACAAACAACAAAAAGTGGCGCAGCTTTTCAGCTGCTGGCCAGTTGCCTCTCCTGCGTCCTGCGTCCTGTGTCCTGCCGCCTGTCTTCTTCTGAATTGACAAATTTTCCTCCACACAAATCTAAAATTATGCCAGCGCACAGATTGAGATGGTAAAACTAAAATTGTAACAACTTTGGCGACATTCACGGCCGCCAAAAGTAACAACAACAACAAACGACGACGGAGACGTGCTCTTGAGCAGGGCGCGCGCGACACTCGAGGTGTAGGCAACAACTATAGGGACCGTTACGCCGTGTGACTGTTAAGCCGCCATAGTCGCAGTCGCACGGATTTCAAGATTGTCGACTAGCCTTTCCCGCTCTTCGTCACCTCTACTTTCCAAAAGCCGTCGTCAAAAAAGCGGCCCACACACACACACACACACACACCACACACATACAAAAAGCGCAAAGCAAACAGAGAAAGCAGAAACAGAAAAAATGGAGAAAAGAATAAAGGTAGAGCGAATGAGAAGGTAAAAATGGCGTGCAACTATTTACATATGTTCTTGAAGCAGTCGTCGCTCGCCGCTCGCCGCCTGTGCGACTGTGTGCAGCTGTCGACAGGAACAGCACACTGCCGCCCCCGAATATTGGGCACACCTACGCACTCAAGTTTTGGGCTTCTGTAAGAGTGTGCAAGGCAATAAATTAAAAGCAAATTTGCGCAAATTACACATGAATTTCAATTAGTTGCCAGCGGCTGGCAATTATAATGATGATTGCATATGGCCATTAAACGTGGCCAAAATGCAAATTTTCAACATTTGTTTTTTGGTGGGGAACATGGTAATTTTCAAATATTTCAAATTTCAACATTGCTTGCATTGAAGTGACTGTAAATGTACAACAGATGCATCATTTTATGGCCGGTGGTTGGAAAAATACACACATTTATCTAGTCACGATAAGTGGATACACACGGAGCAGAGAAAATATTTCTAGACTGAATATTTGTAATTCTTTCAGCTGCCTCTGAACAGTATCAACAGGTGGTAATCTTCTCTGGACTTTCTATTGCGTGATTTTATATACATACATACATGAACTTATTCCACCTTTGATGCCTGCCACAATATGTGGGACTGGCAGTGTGACTTTCGAGGCGCATTATTATTTATGGCCGCATGCCGTGAAAAATGTCAGTTGGCGACAAGTGTAGTGTTGTTTAAATGGCATGCACGGTTGCCACAACGACAGCAACAGCAACAGTAGCAGCAGGAGAAGCAACAATAATGACAGCCGTACGAGTCGTACAAAAGAATTTGGCGCTCAATTTGATGTGAAACGTGCAGGAACCCCACACACACACACAATCGCTCACAGACAGTGCAGGAGAGAGAGAGTGAGAGTGAAAAGAAAAGTCGCAAAAGAAAGCTCAATACAAATAGCTGTGCTTGGCCTTTGTAGTTGACTGTTCCTGTCAGCCCCACTACCCTCTGCCACCCACGACCACAAGCAGAGAAAGAGCGGGACAGCTGCAGCAAAAGAAAAATGGGCAACGCAACATGTAACAGGCAAACAGAAGGCAAAAGAAACCAACAGAAGCAGAAAAGCAGGAGCCCAAACACAAGGTATATTCATAAAGGGTATGGATATCCAAAGCAGCAGTCTCTATTCGCAGTTGCGTTCACAACGAGAGATGGAGTGGGAGAGTAACTAGACTAGCCGAAGAGCCAGACTGCCTTACCCTCCAATGCCTACACCTTGGGTGAGCCAGAGCCGAGGCAAGCAAAAACCAAAGCACAAGCCGAAGGCTGATGACGCGCTTCGGTTGCCCAGGCAACTTCGTCGGGCACACAACAGAGCCGAGCAGCAGAGCCCAAGCAGAGCGTAGAGCAGAGGATAAGCCAGGCCAAGCTCGGGACGGAGCAGGGCAGAGCAGCGCAGCGCGCACACTGACTGCTGACACTCGCAGCTAGCCAGCAAAGTCAACCTCAAGCCGGGCCCCAGTTGCAGCAGCGCAACCAAAGCATTTGCACAGACGCACGGCGCCACGACGGGCTCCACCGCGTGCCAAACTAAAGGAGTAACGGAGTTTTCTTATCAGTTGCCTTGGCCATCGATCGCACTGCTGCTGCTGTTACCGTTGCTGTCGGTGTCGCTGTCGCTGTCGCTATTGCTGTTCCTTTCACTCTCACTGTGAGGACTAGTCACTCGAATCGAATGTTAGTTAGTGTTGTTGCGCGCGCTGAACAGAGCGAGGGCTAGACCTCGCAAAAGTTGTGCTTGTCCTTGCTTAGGGCTAGAGCACCTAGCACTAGAACACTCTCCCGCTGAGAGTGTGCCGTGTCGTGTGCGTGTGAGTGTGTTGGGTGTGCGTGCTAATGGCCTTGTGATGTGTGTTCAAAGCTAATCGTTATGCAATTGCCTCGCGTCTTTATCGGATTCCAGTGAAATAATGTCTTTGAAACGTTATGCAACGCTGCTCGCGGCGGTCACTCCACAGAATCCGCCCAATGCAACAACAAGAGCGGTCTCAACAGTCGTGTCCATAACAACCATTGCCCCATCATCATCATCATCCGTCGCTCCAAGCAGCAGCAGCAGCAGTAGCAGCGAGGAGTCCCAGTCCCAGTCGCAGGAGCATGGCACCAGCTCATCCTCATCATCCTTTACCACCTACTACAGCAGCGGCTTGGGTCTGTATCATCAGCGTGGTGTATCCGGATCAGCAGGCAGTGTCGGTGGCGGAGGGGGCGCAGCAGGAGCTGGCGGACCCCAGACATATGCAAATGTTGTCAACGGCAACGTGAATCTGCTGCTGGGCGGGTAAGTCGCATGCTCCTATCTACGAGCACACACACACACCCCATAATCATTGAATCAGTGAGAAGGGAATGCATCACATTCATAAGGTGGAGTGAAGGTACGGTCTGTGCCACGGGGGAAATGCGGGAGAGTGTCTGACATATCAGGTATTGCAAAGTTTTTCTCACTATTTACGAAATATTAATGCGCGCTTCCCTCCACTGGTGATTTCTGTCAGAAATGTGGAAGAACTTCGGGGATGGATGCAGGATCCCTTATTCCTTGAACTAATCAAACATTCTACAGTCTTCTTTTTGGGGCATGCATCAAAGTCACCATCCATCAGAATTTCCATGAAAAAGACGCTCGTAAATTAAATTTAAATGGTTACAGTAATTCCCGTAATTGTAGACACATTCTTTTAGATGGATAATGGATAATAAGGAGAACATTGCAGCAGCACCACTCATAGATCATGCCACAAGCTTGATTTATGGGTCGGAGCTGGAAATTAATAAACATCAACATTTTATGCGGCTGCAAGCAAGCAAGATGTCAGTCTCAGTCTCTCCTCCTCCTTTTTTTTTTTTTGGACATAATCATAATTATAATTGCGCTTATCCATTGCTCCGCTCTTCCTTCTTATTTTTTGGAGGAAACCCGTACCCCAGTAGCAGTACCGCATCCTTCACGTTTCACTTTTTGTGTGCAACACGAGCTCTGTCTGCTTCAGGGAATTGGGTTAACCGAAAAAAGGAGGACCAAGAACGAGGAATTGTCAACAGAGTTTTTTATAGGATATCTTTTATATGTATCTGCATATATTTGATGTCTGTAAACATCACGCGCGCCTCCAAGCGAAAGAAAACTTTATTTTAACTACATTTTTATCGATTGTCTTTAGCGATTCATTGAAAATAGCTGGAATACAAAAATCAGTAGAAAGGGGAAGGACTGTCTCTATCCGCCCGCCCTTTTGAAACACTGGGTGGACTAAAAGGAGGCCCCCTAATGAACTGTTGACATGCGAGAAATTGCGTGAAGCGAGGAAAATGAACAGCTCAAAGAAGGACAAGGCGGGTACTGGGAGAGTGGATGAGCCAGCAAAAAACACTGGACTGGACAGACACACACCGCACACACACACACACACACAAACAGACAAGTGGGACATCATATTGTTGCATTCTAAAGTGGATTAAGTGACGTCATTGACTTTTGCCCTGTGTAACAGATTTGAGCGGAGCGAACCATTAGCCGGGGGAAATCACTGGCTATAATCGGACATAAGTTGTTCAGCAGCGAGGCTAAAAGGGAAATTCGATAACTGGCAATCACGATGATGATACTTCAACGATTCCACGGCAGGGGACGAAAGGAATGGTAATTTATTGGCAAAGAAATACTACATAAACGTGATGGTAAATTCAAGTCAAGCCTTCAGGCCATTACTATCGGAGCTGCAGGCCATCGAAAAGCGACAAGCGACAAGCGACAAAGAATTCAAATCAAAGGTTCGGTGGGGGGGGGGGGGGGGGGGGGGACAAAAATATGTATTCAAAACTATGTGCATTTTACAGTGTATCAAAAACCATCAGCGTAATGGAATTCAGTTGTTTGTTGAAGATGAAGGCTTCTTCTCAATTCATATGCCATAAAAGATACAAACTTTATAACTGTCAAGTATCTTAGAAAATTATTGAGATACATACACGATAGATAGATAGATATAGAGATAGATACACGTCATTCACATCATTCGACGATGATTATCACATAAGCTATCGTTCAAACTCAGTTATCGATTACTTCATTCAATAATTAATTTTTGTAGCTATTTATATTCTAATATCGCATGATTTTAGAGCGCCTAATCAGCGCCTAGTTTTCGTGTGTTTAAACCGCAATGGACCGTACCATTGGAAACCTAATCCATTAAGTAAACGAAATTTTGGCGATCGATGAGCACACAACGATAGCAAAATCAATTCAATCAAACTTCAAAGCTAAGAAGTCAACAGTTGGTTGCGAGGAGAAAATTAATTTCAATCGTTGAATACACAAATTACAGTCCACAGAACTGCACCAGAGCCAAGGCTACAATAACAAACTATAATAGCTGCATTATTCTAATTAAAATAACAATAGAATGACAACAATGGGGAATAATCCATCAGGCTAGATGTGGATGGAGAGGGAGGGGCAGAGAGGGAGAGGCAGAGGACACAAATAATTTGTTTAAGGAATTTATGTTATCAATATGCGAGCAGAGGGCTCCAAAAAGGACACCCACAATGAGTATTTGTGCAATTTGTACAGCAGAATTAATAGATGTCCAAAAATGGTAATAATATTATCATTATTATGGCCATCGTCTATTGGGGTAATCAATTCCATTCCATTCCATTCTGCTCATCCATACACACACACAAGCACACACTTGCAGGCAAACCGATATTTATACATGTATCTATTAATATTGTGGCTGTATATGGATGTGTATCTGTGGCGCATCGAATTACATTGCATTTGTATTGTAACATATTTCATGTTTCTGTTGTTGCTTGTTGGTTGTTGCAGCGCCATGCTCTCCCTGGTGACAACCATATTGTGCGTCGTCTGCTATTGTTGCCACCGCAACATCAAAAAGCGCACAGAGGCCGCCTACAGGCAGCAGCAGCATCAATGGCTGGAGACGGATCCCAATATGGAAATCTATAGCGTTGAGCAGGTAAGTTTCTTTTGCGCTGCCCATGCCATGCCCATGCCGCCACCACCCCCGGAGGGTGAAAGGCCAACGGTTACAATATCAAAGGCCACTCTCCAATGGGGAATGATGTTGCAATTGAACGGAATGCACCAGAGAAATGTGTAACAATTTAATTCAAGAAATACGAGTGGAGGGAAATGGGCTTGGGATCGGGTTTGGGGTATAAGTATTTTCTTGTGGGGTTTTGAGGATTCTGGCGAGAATTTCTCTAATGAAGGATGAAGAATGTTTCAAAGGAACAGAGCTGTGGATTCTATGGGACTTCGCCATTTGATATGTGAATGCTGGCCTGTGAAAGAGTCTATAATACCCAATCGCATAGGTTCCGTTCCTCTGGCAACATCAAATATTCTCCTGAAATTGGTTAATCTTCAATTCATTGATTTAATGACTCTCCAGTTTGAATGTCAAATCCTAATTGCTGTGGAACCACGAATCACAATCAGCGGCCAATTGGCCAAAGTATAAATAAATTAGTAGACTGCTAGACATTCGTGGGGATGCAGACTGGCAGACTGGCAGACTGGTAGCCCCACAGCCCCACAGGCCATCCCCCACCGCCAGTGGCCTCTTTCAAGTTTAAGCCAACATTTCAAGGCGACATTTCAAGAATGTAAGCCAGAAAGTGGCACAGAAAGAGGCATGGGGTAAGCAGAGAGTGGGGCAGCAAAAGATTGTAGGCATGAGGGGTAATGGATATTTATGCGGCACATTTAACAGGTGCCACATCAGCAACAACAACAACAACAACGACAACAAAGTAACTTGACCACAGCAGAAAAAAGGCGCGACAATTGCTTTTTGCTGCTGCCACCGACGGGGCGCCGGCCGCGCCGCTTCCAAGGGCCAAAGAAGCGGGGCTGGGGGCGGGAACGGCAGCGATGGCACTTGGAATCCGCCATTAGAAGCCGCACTCACTTGGCCCAGGGCTTTATTAAGTTACAAGCCACGAGAACCCACTGCCACTGCCACTGCCATCCGTCAGTTCATTGTGGTTTGTTGGCCCACTGGGAGATGGCCAGAAAGAAGAACGGAGGAACAGAAGGCGCCGCGTAAATCAACGTTAGCCTGTCCTGCCGCAAAAATGTCAACTGTAGACAGTCCTCCCACTGCAGCAGGAGGAGGCGGGCTTGGGATAGGAATTGCTAGAGACAGCAGCAGAAGGAGGGATTGGGCTAGGAATTGGTGGACAGTGGAGAGTAGGGGTGGGGTGCAGGGGCAGAGGCAGAGGGCTGCTACAGAGTGAAATAAATTTATGATGTGTGCAATTTAAACTTTTTCATGTGAATTTACGCGAAATTTCATTTGTCCTCCATTAATAGAGTAAATTGCAACCAGTTCTGGTAGAGATCCGCGAATCTCCTTCTAGGATGCAGATTCCATCAGAAATAACCCATCCTCTAATCAATGTCCTTCCACACCTCATTCCAGTGCTACGAGACATCTGGACTATTCCTGGGCGACTCCACAGACGGACTGTCCGTTATGCCGACCCTGCACCACGAGCCGCCGCCCTCCTACGATGCGGTGGTGCTGCACGAGCAGCAGTTGCTGCAGCAACAACAGCAGCACCAGCAGCAGCTGGAGCAGCTCCAGCTGCAGCAACAGCAGATCCTGATGCAGCGGATCTCGCCCCCGCCCGGCTATCGATCCTCGCTGGACATCAGCACCCACCACCATCCCCACGGGCCGGTCGGCGGCTGCAGCCGTGGCACGCCCGATGGCAGTGTGGATGCCATGGCCAGTGGATCGGGGGCAATCAGAGGAGGAGGAGGAGGAGCAGCTGCAGCTGGATGCGGAGCCGCGGTCAACAAGGAACTGCAGCTGGCGCTGAACGCCCAGTCCTGCTGCTCCCTGCAGCGGGCGGAGGTGGAGAGCATGTGGAATGCTACGGAAATGGAGAGCATGTGGAATGCAGGTGCGGCTGCGGTTGCCGCCCGACGTGGAAATTGCCTGGAAATGGAAACAGTGCCGCCACCACCAGCGGTACCTCTGGCCCTGCAGGGCAGGAAGCACGGTGGTCAGCAGGGCTTCGGGCTGAACACCTTGGGGCGTCGCTACCTGCAGCAGAGCCACCAGCACAGTCACTACCGACAGGGCTGTCCGCTGTGTGGCAAGTTCCGCTACGAGGCGGAAGCGGAAGATGAGGTGAGCCCATGTGCCTTGTCTGTGGAAAGCGGCCTCAATGTGGGCTCCATGAGGAGCAGCGAAGTGCCGCCAGAGGATGCCAACGAAAATAGAATGTTGGCAAGTGCTGAGCTGGCAACATGTCCCTGCCCCTGCTCCACCAACTGCGACAACGAGGATGGAAACGGCAACCACATGATTGGCGAATCCCAGCCAGAAGATGAGGCAAATGGGAATGCCCAACCCGCAACACAGGAAGCAATCAACGAGCCAACCACCACAACCATCACCGATGTCAACGATGAAAATGACAACGCATCTGTGGCAGCCACGTCATCGGCCCGGAATGAGGAGGAGCTGGCTGCTGCCAGCCAGGATTTGAGCAACATCAACGAGAACGGCTTTATCAGCCTGGATATGAGCAAAATCATTGACAGATCGGGTCTGCCCACATATGAGGGAGCCCTGAAGCTGGAGTCCAGTGGCTATGTGTAGGAGACCCAAGAGGAAGATCATCCCTTGTGTTAGCTATAATCTATAGAAACCTAAATCACAAATGTGCTTTAATTATGGAATAAGATGGCACTCTCTTTTGGACAGCTGTGAAATGGCAAAAAGGTTTTTGGTTCACTCAACGCACTAGTTAATCTGTTTGTAGTTCCTTTAGTTAAATAGTTAATCGTTTTGTAGTTCCTTTCTCAGGTCTGACTGATCTCACAGAATGGATTAAGATTCGTTTTGTTTATCGTTTATCTCATGGATTATTATAAATTATTTTCTACTATCAAAGACACATAGAACATCCCTACAGGATCAATTGTAATCAGCCTTACTGTCCACACAATACATACCTTAACTTTACGATCTCTTTGGATCTCTGCTAAGTACACATGTCGTTATTCTTACGATCCCCCAGATCTCTCTCTATCACTCGTTGTAAGCAAAGAAAGTATAAAGAAAAAATATAATCCTAATTTCTAGTGTTAGGCCCATATGCATATCCCTGTAAATGTTCGTTTCAGGCAAAGAATATCAATAAAAAAACAAGCAAAAAAATAAAAATAAAATCCCCAATGAAGGTGCAACAGCTCCCCATCGGCAGCCTTAACCCTAATAAGTACGATTACCATAATATTATGTTTTGTGTTTTGCTCCGTCAAACGCAATCCAATTGAATTTGTATTATATGTATACCCATCGCACTCCCCCTTCCCCTCTACCTAAAGGGCAGATAGCGAAATGAAAACGAAACCGATACAAAAAAAGAAAAAATCGCAAGCGGGGCGATGAATGACATGCAAACAAATCGTCAAAGACGGCGACTGACAAGCGGGCAAAAGAACAGAACAGACAATACGCGCTATCTCTATCTCACTCTCTCTCCCCCCTCTAATTCCACCGGTCACTGTGCACTTAGCTATGGGCTAACGGGACAGACTGCGGCCTTTGTGTCTCCCCGTCTCTGTCTGGATCATTTGCATTAAGGATGGCAGCGAAACAGCAGGCAAGGAAGAGAAGAGAATTCAGTGAAGGGGAAACCGCAACGACTGATAGGATACCCTCACATATGCTATGCATGATATGAGTTGGGCTTTGATTAGTCATAGTTCAGGTGGATATTCGTATGCAATTCTTTCGAGCAATCGATTCGATTGCAACATTTTCTTATACACATTTCTATATTTTTGGGTGTAGTCACAGTCGCAATAGCCCGAATCGTTTGAAAGGGTATCAAAAACAAATCGCATTGGCAGCCGCGTGTGGTGTTTTGTTGTTTTCTGTGGTCAAGCGATGGTTGGAGATAAGAAGCCTTCTCCCGGTTCTCTCTTTGTTCTTGTTCTGGTCTTCATTTGCTCTTGCCATAGTGCCGCATTGAAAGGGAAACAAGAAACTTGTTAGAGGCACTCATCATTTTCCACAATTTCCACTGGGAGGAATGCAACCTTGAAATGCCAAAGGGGGAGGTTCGGGGAGAGGACAGGAACTGTGGAATGGAATGTAATTATACATGGATCGATGGAAAAGCCTACGAACGACTTTTTGCAAGTGATATTTAAGGCACTCCCCATATCAAATCCGACTTGACTTGACCCCAATCAAATATTTATAATCCTCCAGTGATTTTTGTTTTCATTCGTTTTATTTCACTTCCGTCATGATTTCGTTTAGCACCACTCCAGCCACATACCGTCGTGTCAGCAGCATTTCAGTATTCAAAATTGGTATATTTTCACATAAGATGTGGAGGCAATAAACCCAAAAAACAAAATTTTGTATTATTTATGGCCATGCCAAAGAGATTTCCTTGCGGTTGGCACTACGATTTAGCCGGGTGAAGGCGCGCGCTTTGTTGATAATTGCAAACTGAATGTGATGCGTTACGTTAGTGGCACAACAAGTTGAGGCACAGCTGCAGCAGTCGCAGCAGCAGCAGCAGCGGCAGCGGCAACAGCAGAGTGGCAGCCGCAGCCGCACCACAAAGCAGATAGAGGTCTATCCATTGGCGTAGTAGCTTTAGATATACCCTAGAAAAACGTTTGTTTAATCATAATTTAATATTAATTTTCTATGAAATGTCTATGATAAATGGATTCCTTCGTTCCCAAGACAGATCCATCGTGTATAGGAAGAGGAAAGTTCGAGGGCTGCCTTCAGTGTCTGCGTCTGCAGTCTCAAACCACTTTCCAAAACCACAATACCCGGCTGCTAGGGAGTATCAAAAAAGACAGAAAAAGAGAGCGTCAGACGCCAGATAATGTGCATGTGTGCAGGGGCCAAACAAAATAGAGCGCACGAGAGCTGAATAGAAGGCAACTGAAAATGAGACCTGAACCGAACCAAACAGAACAAAATGATGGCATGGGCATGGGCATGGGAACATGGAGCATGGGGTTGGATTGGTGGGTGGCTGGGTGCCTGCCCGAGTGGGTTGCTGCCTGAGTGGGGAATGCCGCAAACTGCGCAGCGCCGTTTGACCCTTGGCTGAACAGCTCTCGGCCGCCTGCTTCGATTTATTAATAAAACCATAGACAGAGAGAGAGGGACACACGTGCACACAGGGGGGCCTAGGCGGCGGCGGCGGCCGACGCGGATTGGGGGCAGGTGTCGTTGTCGTCGTCGTCGTCGTTGGTGTGAACACAAGCACATGCCACCACAATTGGTCTTCCTCTCTCATATTTATAATTACTGCAAATTGTCGCTTAAAATGTTGTTGTGTCCCCTGCCAAAAGCACTCGAACTACTTATTGTAGGAGTGTGTCATCATCGTCATCAGTGGAATCATCCACAGCAGCATCATTATGAGCATCTTCATTATACTAGCTGGGAGGCTGTGGCACGTGCTTAAAAATAGACTCCATTTGGCAATTGGTATGACCTAAAAATTGGGATACAAATAAGACCTAGGAGCAAGACAATCGCCGACGATGGTAATGCTCTAACAGGCCAATGGGGATAACAAACCAGAACAAACCAAAACTAAAAAAAACCAGATGGAAAATGTTTTGAAATTGATTCTTATACTCATTCGAAACAGACGTACATACATATATCGGAATTCAGGTCTGCAAAAGCTTAAACCTAGCTTGAAATTACTTAGGAACTGGTTGTTGAGGGTCTCAGGTAACAAATTCCTTGGAAATAGCTTCACAGATGAACAAAATTACAAAGAAAATGTCTCAAATTTGTTTCAACTTTTGTTTTAGTGGATTTTAGATCGGTATTCCTTAAAACAGCTTCAACGATAAGAGTATTTCGAGAGCCATTTTGTTGACTTTCAAGCATTTTGCTGATAAGCCATAAATTAAATAACCAAAAATCATATATGTACATATATGTATGTACATATATATTACGAGCTCAAATCACTGTTTGGTTCGTATATCGCTTCCGCTACCCAGAATCCAGAGTTCAGAAGCTGGGCAACGCAAACTGTATTATCCGGGGGATCGACACAGGGGAGGGCGGAATGCCGTAGACAGTGGCCCCCCGATAGCCCCAAAAACGCAACAGCAATGGGAGTGTACAGTGGCGTGTGTCGGGGTATGTAGAAGTGGGCCAGCTACAGCTACTGCCGCAGCCAACAACAAAGGAAAAGTGCAAAAACCGAAAGTAAAAGTGCAAATACCCAAAAAGATGCCAACACACGTACAGGCAGTACAGGCCTGCCCACTCCACACCCCATAAAAACGGAGGCAACCGAGGAGAGGGAGAGACTTACCCACACTGCGGATTGGAATGCTCTTTGCATGTCCTGATTTCTTCCGTCGCCAGGCTCTAAATGAGGGCTAGACGCTAGAGTAGGGAGGCTTTATGGGATGGTGGAGGGAGGTGGGGATCCTAGGGTGCGGTGGTGCTGGTGCAGGTGTGGCACACACTGCCGATGTGAGGAAACACACTTGTAGTTATTGCTTTGCGTGCGTCTGTCGTTTCTGTGCCGCAGCCAGATTACACATTACACATATTACATCTTTAATTGAACTTATTCATGTTGTAATTCCTACACAAACAACTGCACACGACAAAAGATCGAATCGAAAGAGTTGTTGGCAGCGAGCGGTATGGGGTGTGGAAAATCTGTCTGGTTGCGGATTCTGCGGCGCGTAACTCTTATTTCGTATTGGTTATAGCTTATAGGTTAAAGCCTTTCCCTTGGAGGTCACTATATCATTAAATACATAGTATTTATTGCACGTCCCGCACACGTTGGGGCTTTCGTTATTAAACAATTAAAAATCGCTTGGGGCATTTTTTTATTTGCAAAAAAAACAAAAAACAAAATACGCGACTGACCGTATGGGGAAAGCCGCAAAATACTTCAGTAGTTTAGCAAAGAGAAAATAAAATACTGAAAAATACTCATAGGGAGGCCGCGCGATTTAAATACATTCATTTGTATGGCACCGCTGGAGGCGGCTTCGGTTTGGTTTTATTTGGAAATTATTGTAACGTAACTATCATAAACGTAATTATAAAAACTAAACAGAAATCCATATTACACATAATCATAGTAGTTAAGCAAGTGCTTGGTTAGATGCTTCAGTGTTCTCATTGTTTCCTTTTCTGCACTGATATTCACCCAATTGCGTTGCGATGTAAAATTTATCTAATGATTTGTACCATTTGTCTGTGAATCCTATTCCATTTACATGATTCTTGGGCTATGCTAATGATTAGCTTTACCAATTTGGTTGCAGGAACTGCATTAAAAATGAATACTAACAAAATAATATAACGTGTATTTACAGCACCACATTCTTCGGGTGTTGTGTTGCCTGTGGTGTCGTGGGGCTTTAATTGCGCAGATAAGCAAAGCCCTCTTCTTGTCCGGGATCGTTGTGACGCACTGCCATAGCTGTCTCCACTAGATAATAGAGGCACTTGTATTTGTCACGCTTCTCTCGACTTAGATCTGCAGGGGAAATCAGAGCAGTAAGTATATAAATATATAAAAGCATACATTTCCTCTGATCTTACTCTGTGGTGGCGGTGTGGACTGGGTCTGACTGCTGCCGCCCTCGTTGTTGGTGTATAACTCCTCTGAGGACCTTTCCTTTTGATTGGAGCTGCTTGTGTCCACTACTGTGGCCGGGGCCCCGAGGTGATGAAGTAGGTCGTTCCTAGTGACCACAACCTTTGGCTTGGCTGAAAAGGTTTCCAATCCGTTTACTTTGGTTCACAATCTAGCTATAATGAATGCTGAAACTTACGCTCACGCTTTATGATCGGATCTACGGCCGCCTCTTGGCTGTTGGCAGTAGTTTCCTTGATGGCTGCGGCGCTACTCGTAGCAACCTCTTCCGTGGTGAAAACGGTTCTGCACCGAGAAACGAAAGAACATGAAAGTACAAGCGAACACTCAAAAGTGGAGGCCCTACTTACTTCATCACGGACTGCCAGTCGTCGGAGGTCTCGAAGCGCACTTCTCGCTCGCTGTTTTGCTCGCACGACTCGTATCCCTGAGCGCTCTCCTCGCCCTCGGATCTGTGGATGAGAAAGGAGTGTTTAGCCACATTGGTACCCAAGTGTTAGGCTTAAGATAAGGAGTCCACCAATGTGCTTTGAAACTTCCACGCTGTACCTAGGGGCATTCTTTTTGCTTCTTTTGGCCGGTTTTACATGTTTCGCATCCTTTTGTTTCTGATCAGTGTCTTGGGCTGCTTTTTGCTCGGATTGAAGCGTTTTGTTAGCCACCTCCGAGCGCTTACGTCCGCGCCTGATCGGACCTGGCTTTTTGTCCTCCTCAAACTCTGCCGGCATCTGCCGAAATGTGCTGGTAAAAGGCTTTATGGCACCGGTGGGACTGGTGGCGACGTTTGTTGAGCTGGCGGCCAGCGCGGCAGCCTTCCGCATCTGAAAGGCCTGGATCTTATCTATAATGGTTGCTTGCAGTGACGAGTGGAGACTCTGGAAGCCCATTGGGTTGTTTGCAACGGCCTGCTGCCAACTTGGGGGAGTAGGTGGGGGAGGGATCAAAGTTGAAGGATCGAATAGACTACGGCAGCACTATGTGCTCTGCGGCAGTACCTGTAGACAACGCTCTCGTCGTACTCCGGCTCCATTTTGACCATCTGGCCGCTCGGCGTTCGCACGTATTGGTCGAAGTTTGTGAGGACATTGGCGATTCCCTGGTGGGCGTCGGCAGCACCATCTACTTCCTCTGTGGCGCCAACAAACTGCAAAGATTAAACATATGAGTCACACTCTGCTCCTTGGGGTATGGTATTCATGGATGGATTGCATACCACTTCGGAGGAAGGACTGCCTGCCACAGACGACTGGGTTGCACCCTGTTGGGGCATGCCCGAGCTGCTGGCGGACGAGTTGGGGCTGACCTTCTTGCCGCGCCGTGAGATGGTGAAGTGCAGCGGGTCGTTGCCCTCGCGTCGTATCATCTCGGGCAGAATGCGCCGGCGCGCATTGATGAACCAGTTGCATACTTGCAGCACCGTCAGGCTGGCCTCCTGCGCCAGAGTAAACTTCTCGGCATCGCTGGGATAGGCATTGTAGCGGTGCTCGTAGAGCCAGCGCTTCAGTATCTTCACCGAGTGCTTCGGCAGGTTGCCACGACGCTTGCGCAGCGATCCATTGATATCGATGTGGTGGTCGTGGTCGGTTTCCACCATCATCTCGTGGTAGTTCTGTAGCTCACGGCTGTCCATCGCCACCATATGGTCGGAGGTGGGATCCTCCTCCACCTCCACAATGCCATCGGCGGACAGGGTGTCTAATGCATTCATCGACTCCTGGTCATGCGGCAGTGAATCATTGTCCATGCTACAGTCGGACACGAAGCGTTCGCGACCGTTCGGCAGATCCATCAGGTTCGCCTGATACATGTTCTTGATGTTCCTGCGCACCTGGTGATCCAGCACCAGGTTCACCTCTTCATGATCTGGCGAAATCATTGTTGAGGCCAACGCGCACGTTCAGCAAGAAAAAGCCTGTGAAACGTCACAGAAAAAATTGAGTTTAAGTCCAGGCACAAAAAAAAAACAACACAAATTTATTTTGTTGTGTGTTTAACTTTTGGAAAAATATTTTAATAGATTTTTTCTCGACGATTAACAAAAATATTTGTGCTCACAGCTCGGGCTTCTGGATAAAACTAACTTTAGCTGAATGCACAGCTAAATGACAGGACACAAAAGTGGGGGCATACTATGGCCCAAAATCTCGGCATTCCCTGCAGCCTACTTGATTCTTCAGTTTTCATTGTGTGTTGGAAATCTAACAACATTCACTTGGCAATCTTTTAAATAGTTGTTTCACCAATCGAATATAGTATCGATAGCTGGCCACTATGCGCTATCGGATGGCCAGAGACCATGACATATAACATGTCAAATTGACACTTTTAGCCGAATTATTTTGACAAACCTCATCGCGCGCATCAACAACATCCACTCCGCGCTCCACCGGCGTCAAGCAAACGTCTGTAAACTGTATTTAATTGCACTATTTGATTTGTTAAACAATTTTAACCTCCTCGACAACGACGCCAGCAGCAGGGCAGCAACAAAAACCCGAATACACACGAAGAGAAAGAGAGACGAGAGCAGAGCTGAATGATTGCTGTATCTGTTGGTATTGGAAAACGCTGCCAGATTTTTTATTTCTACATTAAACGCTTAAATGCTGTAAATAAACGTTTAATGACTACAACAAATTATCATTAATTTTAATGAACTAATTTGTGTAATTAGCATCACAATCAAATAAAACAAAGTGCCGATTTATTTAATCCTAGTGTTGTAAGACGATTCAAAATTATCAAAGAACAAAATATAACAAAATTACCAAAATGGAATACGCTGTGGACGAAGAGTATTTGGCGGATATAAAGTGCAGCGAGGACGAGGATGATGATGAGGACATGCAGGAGACGGACGATCTCCCCGAGGGGGATGACTCCCCTCCGCCATGGAACGCCGAGGACTCGGATCCCCTGCAGGTCACAGCCGATGCAGACCCTTTCCCATGGCTGTTTGAGGAGAACGATGTACTGATTAACGAAGATGAATTGGACCCGGTGGTGGCGACGCCAGCGGAATCGGGAGGAGCTGTCGTTAAGCGAGGACGAGGACGTCCCTCATTAAAAGTGTTCTTTAAATCAGCCAGCGGACAGCGGTGGTCTGCAGATAGGACGGCCGCTGCGGAGGAGCCCCCTTTGTTGGTGCACGAGGCGTGTGGCAAGGGACCCGCCGTCACCGTTTCCAATGCCGTCGAGTCCTGGATACTGCTGTTCGACGATGAAATGATGCGTTTCCTGGTACGCCATGTCAACGAACAGTTTCGGAAGCGGACTGCCCAATCCCTCCACCAGCGTCAAATAGATGTGGTCGAGATGCGTTCCTTCCTCGGACTGACCTACCTATGTGGTGTGTTCAGAAATGGCCAGTTCAATGGGCCCCTGGATGAGCTGTGGACTGTGGAACTGGGCAATGCCATATTTCGGGCCACCATGACGTTCCAACGGTTCGAGTACATATCGGAGTCTCTTAGCGAAATCAACAGCTGGGCGGAGGGCAAGAAGCTCTGGCACAGGCTGATAATCAACTCCCGAACGTACTACGGCTGCAGCAGCTGGCTAACTGTCGATGATGTTCCCTGCTCTGTGGCCGATGCAACACTGGCCCTCTGCTGCGATGCGAAGACCTTGTATATGGCCAATGCTTCGGCCACCACACAGCCACAGTCCATTCACAAAGAAGTCGAAAAGCTGATCTGCGACTACAAGACCACGGGAAGAAATGTTACGCTGGGATCGCGCTACTTGAGTCTATCCCAATGCCAGGAGCTAATGGAATCTCAGCTGAGCTCGATAGGACTGATGGAGACTACAGCCGCAGACTGGCCCAAATTGTGGCCTTGTGGGAGTACCGTTTACAACCGATCGTCCAAGCTAGTTCCACACGAAAAAAAAGCCCTGCTGTGCTGTGGTCTCATCTCCGAAGTGGATGCCGTCAAGCTTTTTCGACACACCGAACAGACCTGTCACCAGTTTTATGAGCACTCGCAACGATACAGCACTAAGTTCGCAACGCCTGCGTCGCTGGAGAAAGAGTCCCATACATTCCTCAATCTGTTGCATCTTGTTCTCAACACAGCAGCCTTTAATGCATGGATACTCCTGCGACTATCACTCAAAGGTGATGCCAGAATGGAGCAGCGTGACTTTCAGCGGCAATTGGGTCTGTTTCTTAGCCAGCAGCGGCTCCAGAGGCGACTTCAGAGACGCTCTACAACGACCACGTTGGGAATGCGACTTCAGATCTGCGAAATCCTGGGCCAATCCACACAGCGACTGATCAGCGAGGTCTGCGGTGAGGCTAAGAGGTCTCAAGACGTGGGCGTAATCAGTTTGGAGAAGGCCGCCTTGCCTCAGGGTGTGAGTCTGTGCAGTCGGTATGGCGACAAGCATCGTCGGTGTAAGCCCTGTTCCAAGGACAAGAGGGAGACAAAGGCGCGATCGCGTTGCCAGCAGTGCCAAGCCCATCGTTGTGGCAATCATTTAATTTCGCGCTGCTATGAATGCATGGGTCTCCAGCCGGCGCAGCTGCCAGAGGGAAACTTGCCCGATGCCAGCGAAATTTGAAACTGACATTCAATAACATTTATTAAAGAGACACTGAGACATTCTGCTATACATTCTGCTTTATGGGAGAAGAGGATGGTGCATATTGCTTTGGGTCGTAACTTGTGCTACATCTACGATGACAACGGCCATATGAACTAGAACTAGAACTGTAATGGTGCGACGACGGCCTAGAATTTGTACTGGAAGGACTTTGGTGTCTTGTACTTGGCGGCTCCGGTCGTTCCGTTGGCCTTGTCAATGGGATCGCTTTGGTCGAGGAACAGACTGAGGAACTGTTCGTTCTGCAGCTCATTCAGTGGCATCTCCAGCTCGCTGCAGGACTTGACTATCTCGGCACAGGCGCGCAGATCCTTGCGCAAATCTAAAATGTATGGTGATTAGTGATAGTCGGCCGGAAGTAGTGCAGACTCACATTGGTAGTTGAAGAGCAAACTCAGGCAACTGGCGCAGGCAGAGCGCTGCTGATGCTGCAGATAGACTTCAATCAGTCGGTGCACTGCGTCCACATTGTTCCGACCCAGGAATGAAGAGCATAGGGGACTGGCCCTGTAGATGAACAAAATAAGATTAGTTGATGCCTTATGGAATGTCTGCTTATTCTTACCGCCGCTCCACTAGCTCCTGCAGCTCCTTGTAATGCTCCAAGAGTTCGCCCGCTGATTTCTGGTCACAGAACCAGTCGCTGACAAAGCATTGCTTCCACACACAGGCCACCACAAAGATGTCCTTGTGTTCGCGATGAATGGCACGGGCAACGTCCATGAGAGACACCAGCACCGCCTCGCTCTTTTGGGCCAGCGTCTCTTCGGATATTGTGCGAAAGGCGGTCCGAATCATACGGCGTCCTTCCTCGGTGGTCATGCTCACGCCGTATCCGCGATGCAGCGTCATCAGAGCGACATCCGCATTGCCATTGTTCCACAAGGCAATAGCCTTAAAGGGTGCCAGGTCGGCATAGGTGTGGGCAAACGGATGCTTGAGCAGGCGGCAGATATCTGCCAGGGCCTCCAGTTGCTGGAGCTTGCGTTGTGTACTCAAATACTTGAGACAGGAGATGAACACCTCGTTGGACGGCAATAGATTACAACGAATGCACTGCCTGATCAAATAGAGAAAGTCCAGCTTGTTCTTGATCTCTAGAGTGGCCATGAGAAGGTTGTCCAATTGCGGCTGCGACAGCGAACGAATATCCAGGCCCAGCTGCGGGGAACGCAGGGCTTTCAGATCACTCATCATGCCCTTGGACATGAGGCCCACGTTCTGGCTGAAGCTGGTATTAGCTGTTCCCACTCCTTCTCCAGCTGCTGTTGCAGTTCCTGATGCAACATTGCTATTGTCGTCAGCCTCCAGGGCGGCCGATTGCTTCTTGTTCATCAGACTGTCGCGCAGCTCCTCCCATTTCTGAGTCTTACGGCTAACCAAATCGTTGGTGAAGCAGTCAATGGCGTCCAACTGCGTCGACTTTCGCTGGTGGCGTTGCGTCCCTGGCCACAGAAATGCAGCGATATAGTTCTGGAAACGCTGCAGACCCTTCGGGGAGCCAGGAGCGCCAGCCACGGTTGTGGTGCCACTGCTGGTCAGGCGCGTCAACATAGCCATCGCGAAATTAACGCTGCCTCTCCTAGACTAGAGCACGACACGCCTTTTGCCTCGAATTCGGATTGTATAATTTCTTTTTCTGTTTTCTGTTATTATTACTGTCCTCTATATACCGATGAAAAAACGAACTTAGCCCACTCAAGCCCCCTCTATTTAAACTGTTCAACGACGAGAGGTAAATAGCAGATAATATTACTGATTGTACATTCTTTTTGGGGATCAATACCATCTTTTCTCTGAACTAAAAAAAAACAACGATATCTTTCACGTAAACTGCGCTAAAATTAGTAAATTTTCATTATTTTCGGTGACCGAAAATTTCTTCTGTGTTCAAAGTGTACCGTAAATATGAAAAACGCATTTAGCCCACTAAACCCCCTTTATTTAAACAGGATACCAACTTGAGGTTTAAATAATTGAATTTAAATAATAAATAATCAACATACAACGTAAGTGTGTGGAATAGTCAATTGCTGCTACCAATTCATACCGATTCAATATCCGATTCGAATAGAGCGAGCAAATAGGTGATACGAAGAAAGTACATCGACACATGAATGCAATCCAGTAAAATAAGTGATGCACGGAAGTACGACTTGCAAGATCGACAATTAAAAAACCTGGGTATGAAAGTTTTTATACCCAATGTTCTTTAACTAATAAAAATTAAATTATACCATTATATACCGATAGACCAACTCAATTTCGACGAACATTAATTTTTAACACATTATACTAGCCAAGAAAATACAGAATATAGAAAGATAGATATACAATATATATGTAGATATATCGTACGAACGGACCTTACTTTTCTTATCAGTGAATAACATAAACGAGCGAATGTTCAATAATCGAGAACTGCCTAAAAGTATACTACTAAATAAATTAAGATCAGCTGATAATTTTAATTCTAGAGATGCACGCGTGATATTGCTGATGATACTGCTAGTATCTCCAACAATATATACCTGAACATTTACCAGATTCCACCAACAATTTACCATAATAAAATTAAATAATTGAGCAAAGAAAATAATTTCCAGCTGCATGAGTATGCAAATAGTATAGCTATGCGATAATATCGTTTATCGGCAAGCGGTGCTGCCATCACTAACCACAGACAGCTGATAATACGAGTCCAGAAAATAGGCGATAATAGCGACGATATTGAATAATATAAATAAAGCCCAACGCAGAGGAAAGCACGACCGAAATAAAGCTGGACAGCAACTGGAAAAGCAAGAGCAGCGCAACTGCAACACAAACCACACACAATGTACACACATTTTCCGCTGCGGCTCGTCCTGAGGCTGATACCAGCTTTGTTCGTGCTCCTCGGCGCCCGAGTCAGTGGCAACAACAACCAGCAAATGCAAATGCAGCTGGAGCCCAGCAGTGAAAAAATGCTGAAGGGACTTCAGGAGAGCTTCATCAGTCTCCCGGAACCGCACACGCGCGACCATAGCGAAATGCTGGGAGACCTGCGGATTGTGCCGCCCCACCTTGACTTTGGAACATGGTCTGTGGGGCAGGCGCGTACGAAGCAGGTGACGCTGTTTAACCAGCACACGAATCGCACTCTTCAATTGAACTCTGTGGTGGGGCCCAGTCCGGCCTTCTACAGCAGTTTCTTTGGAACGCGCGAGGTGCCGCCGCTGGGGAACACCACATTCAGTGTGGTCTTCCTGCCGAGGCAGCTTGGTGCCATATCAACGGATCTGCTAATACACACATCCTTCGGCCGTGCGGAGATGAAGGTACGCGGCGAGGGTAGCGAGTGTCCATATCGCTTGAAGCCGCTGGTGGGCATCAAGGCGCCCATAAACGCAACGCTAACCCCAGAGATTCACATGTATAATCCCCACGAGCGTCCGCTACAGATACTCGAGGTAAGTGCAATACTTCAAAATACTGATCTCTATAATCGATATACTACCATCATCCATAAAACAGATTTACAGCAGTGGCGGAGAGTTCCAGCTGGAACTGCCCAGCGGTGGCTCCGAGGGACCACAGAATCTTTGGGAAATACCGCCGCACACGCTGAAGCCAGTCATACGGATATCTTTCCACGGCCGCACCGCTGGCAACCATAGCGCCTACATACGCATCAAGATATCCGAACTCGAGGAGCTCGAGGAGAGCATCCTGGTCATACCCGTCGAGTTCGAGATCCTGCCCAAGCAAACACCCTACGCACGTAATCCTCTGGCGGACTTTGGCCGCGTGGCTACCCACAACGCGGAGGCCATGGAGTTCAAGCTGGATATGCACGACCAGAACGATCAGAGCCGCGAGCTCTTCGGCAGCTATCTGCGGAATATACCGGGCCTCTTCTTCGATCCCAATAGCACGAGCATTGTGCTGGACCCCAAGTTGTTCGAGAGCAGCGAAACGATCAACGATCTGCTGGTCATCAGCAGCAAGAGCTCCAGCTCCAGCCCGGAGCCAGTGCAACCTTTCACGGTTCTAGTCCGGGCAGAGATCTTCAAGGGCGGCCTGTCCTTCGATGGCAATGTCACCAAATTTCTAACGGGCTCTGTCTCCAACTCCGATGGTTCGGAGGGAGCCACTCCGCTGGAGAGGAAACGCTCGCTGGTAGTGCGCAACAACTTTGCCATGCCCCTGATCCTCTACAATGTCAGTCTTAGCGAGCCGATCAACGAGTCCCTTTTGGAGGTGACTATGATGGGTGATCCACTGCAGATTTTACTGCAGCCGGGCGACTCTGTGGAGCTGCTAAAACTCAATCTGCTCAACGATGAGGTAATGTTCAAGTCCTCTCTCAGGATCGATACGAATGTCACCACCTTCGAGATGCCAGTGGTCTCCTGCAGTGGGCGGCTGCACATCTCCGCCCAGCCGTTTGTGCTGCGTATACCACAGAAGAGGCACGAGCGAGAGCTGGAGCCGGAGGTGCCCAGCTTGGAGTTAGATCTGGGCACTGTGCCATATGCCGAGATGTCGCGGGATGGCTATGTCATCCTGCGCAACGACAATCCCATGCCCATCAAGATCACCAATTGGTTCTTCAAGGAGCCCAAGACTGTCTACTCGCACAGCTCCTTCTTTGGCTGCCTGTTGGCGGAGGATATTGAGAATTCGCAGGACGACTTGAACGAGGCCACCCGATTGCACATCTGCCGGTACTTAGGCCAGGGCGACAGCGCCGTCTTCCAGGTGGCCGTCAAAACCTACATAGACGGCCCGGCCGAGGGCACCCTCAAGGTGTGGACTCCGTACGAGGTGGTGCGTGTGCCCGTGAAGTTCAAGGCCTCGATGGGACAGCTGGACATCGATCAGGAACAGTTGAGCTTCAAGAACTGCTTCCCCGGAAAGATATGCACTGCGGTGCTGAGCATCCGCTCCAGCTTCACACATCCCGTACACGTCAAGAGCATCAGCTTCGCGAAGCCGGGCCTACGGTTCAAGGATTTCAATGCCAAGGGCACCACCATCGCTGCTCAGACCCTGACCAAGGTAGGGCGGATCTACTTTGAGCCAACGGCCATGTGTCAGAGCCAGTGCTACATCAGGGACTCCACCAACGATCAGGCCGTCTTTCCCAGCATACCCGGTGGCGGAGCGTTTGGTGGGGAGCCGGGCGGCGCCAGCAGCATCAACAACAATCTCCTGTACGACGGTGTCGAGCTGCGCCAACGCACAGAGCTCTATCGGCAATTCAAACGACAGCTGCAGGCTCTGACCCTGACGCTGCACAGCGACGAGCTCCCGCCGTTGGAGTTGGACTTTGCGATTGCCGTCGAGTGGCCGAAGCTGGTGCAGTTCCAGCCGATACCACCCACGCCGGCCATCGAGATCAGTCAGGTGCAGCGCCAGTGGATCACCCTGACCAATCCCTCGCAGCAGCCGCTGCTCCTCGACTACTTCCTGTCGGACCCGGCCTACGCCAGACGCACCCAGCTCTCTCTGCCTCACGAGGTGATCGATGTCAGCTCCACTAGCTGCTATCTCACCGATCGCGAGGTCTTCTCCCTGCCCGAAGCTGGCGGACCCATCCTGCTGCCCGGCGGCTCGAGTCTTACCATTCCAATCACCTTCAGCGCCTATCAGCCGGAAAAGTACTGCACCCTACTCCATGTGAGGAGTAATCTCACGCTCTACGAGGCTGTCTGGCTCCAGGCCCGCGCCGTGCAATCTCAGTTCCGCTTCGGCAACCGTCGTCCAGGCTCCCTGACACCACTGCTTTTTGATGTGCCGCCCGACCAGTTCGAGGGTTGCCAGTCCGGCGACAAGGCTGTGGTTACCGTCCGCAGCTTTACGGCCCGCAATGCGGGTGTCATTCCCATGAGGATCGAGGGATTCCTGATCGGATCGCTGCCCTGCGAGGACTACGGCTTCAAGGTGATGGATTGTGCCGGCTTCGATCTAGGCGAGAACGAGACGCGGAAGGTGGAGATTGCATTCAGCTCGGACCTGACGACGTCGCGTGTGAGGCGAACGCTGACGCTGATCACGAATCTGACCTACGACATCGGATACTTTATGCTGGCCCAGATGCCGTCCGAGAGTGTGGAGCAATGTGCCGCCCATCTGGTGCGACCCGCTTGGGAGACTTCGCTGAGAAATGCTGCGCTTGTGGTGCTGTTGGCCAGCTTCTGTTTGGTCTTGGTTGCGGCCGTATTTGATTCGAAGGCCATCATGACCCAGCAGAGTGCGTACGATGCGGCCCGCTACAAGGGGCCCGTCCAGCCTACCTTTAATCTGCGGAATATCGTTAAGATGCAGACTGAGGAGGCGGCCGCCAAAGCGGAGGCAGTGCAACAACATCAGCACCACCACCCTCACCAGCACCAGCAACGGGCCAGGAATGGTGGAGGCCAAGTGAAGGAAGTGCGCAAGCGGACATTTATTGCGCCCACGACTACGACAACATCGCGTAAATCCAAGCCGTCCTGGTCAACCTGGGGCATGGACATGAATTCCCTCAGCAAGCATCTGCAGAAACCCAAACCAAAGCCACAAGCCATAGTCACCCCCACCCTCAATCCTCCCCAGCCCGCGCCAGTGCCAGTGGAATCCATCAAGCCCGTGAAGAAATCGGCAACGCCATCACCGCCGCAGCCAACAGCTCCAGTGCGGCCCCAGAAGAAGTTCAGACAGACACCCGTGGTTGTGGTGCCTCCTGCACCCAAGCCCAAGGCAGAGCCATCGCCGAAAACAGAAGCATCGCCCAAAGCAGAGCCATTCCCCAAAATAGAGCCATTACCCAAAGCTGAGCCATTACCCAAAGCAGAGCCATCCGCCAAAGCAGAGACATTACCCAAAACAGAGCCATCCTCCAAAGCAGAGCCATCACCTGTATGCACCCCAGTCGTCCAGGAGGTCCAGGAGAAACCGATGCCCAAGCCCTCAGCCCCGAGTCCTCCTCAGCAGGAGAATATATCGCCCAAGCCCCTCATCAAGACCCAAGAGCAACGAGTGCTAAAGGAACAAAATGGATCAGCCAAGAAATTGGGCAAGACTCCAGGCCGAGAGAGAGAACGCGAGAGGGAGCGCCGCAAGGAACAAAAGGCAACGAATGGTACATCGTCTGTGGTCGCAGTGAGGAAATCTGATCGAAAACAGCGCCAGAAGCAGCTAAACTTTGGCCAATCGGCTACCAGTGCCTCACCACCAGCCTCGCCCGATACCATCAAGTGCATCACCTCTCCCTGGGAGACCAGCAGTCGTGTGTCGTTCAGGGATGTGCTCCAAACAGCCAGTAGCCAGCCTGCGACCATGGACAATGGAATAAATTTGACTCCGGCACCGGCAGCACCGCCATTAACAGTACCAGTAATAGAAAACCATGTGGCTCCACTACCAGCAGCAGCAGCAGTAGGTGCAGCTGCATCATCCTCTCAAGTACCATCACAATCTAGCGATCTCGGACCGATTGGAGGAAGCCGAAAAACCTCGACGCCGCCAGCGATGACATCTTTGTGGGAGCCTTTATCGGCCACCGCCAGCAATTCGCTCTTTGCCAATGCCGAGATTGAGTTGCCTCCCGTAGATGGTAAGCACCCACAAGCACACACACAACATATGTTTGGTTAATGTATAGCGAATCCCATTTTTGTTGCAGATCTATACGAGCAGAGGGAGCGTGAGAGGCTGCAGCAGCAGCAGCAGGCCCAGTGGGAGCGCAGCGAACTGATTATGCAGCAGCAATTGCTGCTCCAGCAGGCCCAACAACTGGAGATGCAGCAGCGACAGCAGGAACAGCAGCAAAAGCAGCTGCAGCAGGAGAAACTCCTGTTGCTGGCGAACATGGAGAGCAACAACTGGAACTCACCCTGGTCGCCGCTGGGCTATGGTGCTTGGCCAGATGTTCAGACAACGGGTGTGGTGAATGTTGTGCGTCCGCCACCAGGTCTAGCTGCTGCAACGGGCTACAACAATAGTCAGATGCTGGCCACATCGCACAACATTGCACAAGAACAACAGGAGATAGCAGCAGCAGCAGCAGCAGTAGGAGTAGCAGGAATCGGATCAGGTGCAGCTGCGGTAACCGGACACGGCGAGAGTCTGCCTACTCAGTATGATCCATTCACCTCGCCAAGCTCAATATGGTCGGACACCTGGCGTCAGTCCTCGCAACGCAACAACAACCACAACAACAACAATCACATGAACTGAAGGGTTATATCCAAAGAGGAGGAGGAGTACGAGGAACAAGCTCACAGATCAAATAACTGAAATGAAATCAACCAAATGAAATTCTTACCACATAAACACACACTTAGGCTACGCGATAGACGATGGAATGGACGAGGACGATGTGGAACGAGACGAGGACTAAGACGAAGCATGATCTTTTCCAATTTGACTTTTGACTAAATAAACGCAAAGATAAAATGACTTTCATATTGAATTGCATATGTTCATTTTCTTGCTCTCACGTTTCTCGTAACGAAACAAAACTTTAATTATTTCTCCTTGTATGTGATGATGCCCTTTTCGATCAAGTCTGGAACCTCCACAGCCAACCAGGGAGCCAGCTAAAAAAGAAGTTGTTACTGATTAGAGCCCACACCTTTGCTTGACTTGATATATCATTGGTTTCAACTCACTCCCAAAGCCATGGCATGGGCAATTCCAAATTTGGGAACATTGCGTGCCCACAGGGGCTTGAAGTGATCTGTTAGACAAATTTTGCCGCCGCGATACATCTTTGCCGTCTTGCCATCCAACTCGGGCAGGGCGATTTCGGGTGCCGTCGTTGGGTATGTCACTGGAATGTCAAACTCCACATCGAATTCGTACTTTAGGAGGTTGTGCATGTACCAGCATTTTCCAAACCATTTGGTGCCCTCCTTGTTGGACTCCAGCCGGAACCAGTCGCTGCCCGACTGCTTATTGTTCTTCACATACTGCAAGAGGCGCCACAGTTGAAATTTTTTGTACATGCATAGGAGTGGTGTGGTTTCGCCACTCACCATAATCAGCGCGTGATATTCCTCTTTCAGCCTCTGCACCCAAACATCCTTCTCACGTGGCCCAGCCCTTATCTGTAACAGTGGAATGTTACTCAGTGTTTTCCTAGTGCTATCATCCACCATTCTGGCCAATGTTTGTTCAGGACGCTCAGAAATAACAGCAAATCCGAAGGAAAACACCTTCGTTGACACGTTCACGTTTGTGTGAGCGAAAGAGACAACTGCACTCAGCTGTGCGGTGTAGAGTTGTCAGCAGTCGCACACATAACCTCGTAAAATAAATTAAAATCAAAAGTAATTTTAAAAAAATCTATATTTAATGTTAAATAATAATAATTATCTTATAAATTGTTTTAATTTGGTTTTTGAATGGATATATTTATGTTAATGCTTCCAGGGCTGCCAGGTGATCACAGCAATCGATACTAATCGATACTTTGGCGCCAAAATGTCTTGCGAAATTCAATTTGACTCTATTTATTGTACCTCGTATTCTATTTCAGACTCGGCTCTCATTCGGCAACATTATAAAAAGGCATATGGGACAGGCACTCGACTCAAACAATATTTGCTCGTGAGATAAGCATCATCAAAGCTAAAAGAACTCTAAGAGGTGATAGTGTGGACATAAAACAAACAAGATTTGGAAAAGTAAATAGTGTCTGCTCTCGGTTACTTTATGCAAATGAAAATACGTCTATAATTTCCAAGTAAGTCCAAATCTGATTGCAAAAATTCTTCCTTCCTTTCTTTGTTCGTTTGGTTCTATTGCAAAATAACACGGAACATGACAGAAGGAGTTTTTCGTTTGTGGTGGAGATCCTCTCCCCTTTCTATTAATATTATTCTTAGTAATACTAGTATACAGATTTATAGCTGGGAAACATTTTGAGTGGCTGAAAGGGATTCACAAAAAGACGTTTCGTGAGGGAAACCCCCTCTCAGAGGTCAGAGATCTCGGGGACTTTTGAATTTGTTTGAAAAGTATCAGGGGGATCGAAAAATATTCCATCGGTAAACAAGAGGTTACCAGAAGAATACAAAAACAATATAGAAGAAATTATTGTTTTGTCATTTTTGTATGGCACAGATTTCAGATTCTGCATGAGACTAGAAAAACGACATAAACACACACGACACGCCGATTCATGGTACCTTTGAACCGAGCATGATAATGCCAATCCGTTGATAAGGAGGCAGTTCCACTTAAAAACCGACTCAAACTGGTTTGAGTGTCTGAAGCTGAAGCGCCTGGACTGCTCGCCAGCATTCAGACTGAACCATGTGCTATATGTGCTCGCGCTACCAGATTCGACCTTAATCGCTGATAAGACAGCATCGATGTCCGTTATACCAGTTCGAGATGATCAGGGTGCAATCCGCAAACCGGTTACAGCCGGCTGTCCTCCAACAATCGCCCAGCCCCCCTTTACAGGGTATGGGGTTTCTATTAAACATATTACAACACGTTTTTAGCAGCTCTTTGAATTTAATGTTCACTTTTATTATGCCACGGAGTGTTATGTCACTTTGTTAACATTCCTCCAAGACGCTAAGACTGTTGGCGGCTGGAGCCTCGACAGCAGTGGTCTGATCTACACTGAAGTCCTCCCTGGCCTCGGTGGTCTTTCGCACGCTCGCTGCAATGATCGAATCTTTTTTCCGGCCTCGCACCAAGCGCTGGAGACGGTGCTCTTCCCACTCCTTGCGATGCACTTTCTTGCGGTGGGCATGCATGTTGGCATTCGAGTTGAAGGTCTGTGTGCAATGCGGGCAGGTGTACAGAACTTCGCCCGTATGCGTTGTCAAATGCTCCTAAAAAAGACGCGAAGGTTCAAAGGCTATCAAACAGAGAAAGACGTTCCCTTGGCTTACCCGCAATTCGTTTGGTCGCTTGAAGGCCTTCTCACACATCGGACACTGGTGATTGCGGGCCGTGTTGTGGGTGTACTTGATGTGGTGCTGATGGGCCTGGAGGCTGGGTGAAATCTTGAGGCACAGCTCGCACTGCATCGGCTGTAGGTTCTCGACAGTGTGCATCATTTTGATGTGACGCGCCAGTCCGTATTTGGTGGTTAATTTGGAGTCGCACAGATGACACTCGATGGTAGCCTGCGGAGCGCCCGTGTGCTCCTCCATGTGGCGAGCGAGAGCCTCCCGCCCACGTATGGACTTGCCGCAAACGTCGCAAATCTTTGCATATAAATTCAAGTGTACGAGCTTAAAATGCTGCTGCATGGTATATTTGGTGGGGAAGCTGCAGAATATAATAAAAGATAAATAAAAGGAAAGGAAACTCTCCTCAGGGAGACTCACGTCTTCTCGCAGTTGGTGCATTTCACCTGGCACTGCTCCTTGGGAATGTGCGTTAGCTTGTGTCGTTCGCAGACGACAGCGCTGTAGAAGCTCTTGGAACAATGATCGCACTGGTAGTGACGGCCCTGCGACTTGACGTCGTGCATTCGCATGTGGAGTTCAAGGCTTCGCCTCTGGCCCATTACGCGATCACAGATTTTGCACTTGAAGAGGTCGGGATCCTCGTGGCGTCGCAGATGATCGACCAGTACGCCGCGCTTTCTGAACTTTCGGTTACAGCAGACGGCGTATCCACGCTGATTGTGTTTCTCTCGCACATGGACCAGCATCTCAGAGAAACCCTCCATGGGGGCACTGCACACATGACACTGCATCTTGTAGTGTTGCCTGATGTAGTCATTGAACTCGCTAGACTTCTGAAGATTATAGACGAGGGTTTTTTTTGGCTTCTCCGCTAGCCGAACTCGGCCACGACCGCGGCCCCTTCCACGAACCTTTCGAGTGATTTTCGGTTTAGGTTCCTCAATATCATCAACTTCCGTGGCACAGCCACTGCGTGACTCAAAGTCTTGCTCCTCCTGATCCTCCAGCACATCAGCTATTGTTAGATCTGCCTCGGGGTACTCAATTTTAATCTCGTTCAAATTGATCTGTTCCAGCACGTTCTGAAATTCTTCGTCACTTGAAGCAGCCCGGGTCTTGCGGGGACGACCCCGCCTGCGCTTCACGGCAGCTGCCACGCTTTGCACGTTCTCATCCTTTACAGTACCGCCATAAACGGCTGCAACTACTGCTGTTGGAGTGGTCTGATTCTCCGCGACGTTCTCCTCGGCCTGCTTTGTTTCCAGTTCGGTCAGGGCTTTGTGGGCATTCTCCACGGTTAAATAGAAGTTGTGAAACAGCAACAATTGTTCCCAGCATGATCCGCACACGTAGCCATCGACAGAATCATTAAACTGCAATTCAGCGCAAAATTCATTAGAAATTTAAGTCAAGCCACAGACGGCTCATTCTGTTTTTGTTTACCCGCAACCAAAAGTGTTTTTCAATTATTTGCCTTAATCCGAGCGAGTCAGCTTCGACGGAATCGAACTTTATATTGCTAATGGCGTCGTCCACACGATGAGTGCATAGAAAGCACGGCATTGTGATTCTAATTGCCAATAATTAACGAAAATGTGGTACAAAGTTTTTTATTAAACTAAAAAAAATGGCACAGCTGATTGATACTGTCACTGAATTGTTGAATATAGTGAGACCGTATGTCAAAATCAGAAAAAAACCTGGCGTGTGACCGAGAGAAATATATGTATGCATTTCTTAGGTTTTGTAATAGTAATAAATTGACTAGTTCTAATCAGCTCCATAGGTAATGAAGCTATGGGTTCAAGATCAGTAACTTTTACTTTTCATATTAATTATGTTGCGAATTTGATTGCCCAAGAACATAAACAAAACAACTAAAATAAGGTAGATGTCTTATGGCCCTATGACACTAGACTTTGCTAACTTTGCTGTGAAAAGAGAGACAGCATGAGAGACAAAACGCAAAATTAGTGTTCATAGGTCCTCTCAACACGTCATTCGAAGAATTAAGAGACTTTCTGTGACAAAATGATGATGATGTGACAGCAAAATTGGATCTGAAAAGTGTTACAGATCTGTCTCTGTTTTTGGAGGTGGTCAGTTAGCAAACTCTAATGTCATAGGGCTATTAGTATATTTGTTGGCTTGCGAATTAGGTCATACTAATGCCAAACTGAAAATGTCGCTACTTTGGGATTAATTTAAGCAATTTAATTTAATTTGTTAATACGCCGAGCTTTGTTTACGCAATGGCCACGCAGTTTATGAGCAATGAACACACAAATCATTCACCTTCAGGCGAATAGACGTGTAAGTCCGATTCAGATCAGATGGACTGCTTATCTGAACGCTCTATCAATGCCATAAACAAGACAAACGTTTTTCATATATGCTTATCTTCACTGTTTTCGTATTTTCAGCTGCTAAAGCCATTATATTAGCCAACTCGGAGAGAATTTAGCCAGAGATGGATGTGCAGACAAGCCGTGTTGTTCCAGACGGTGGCTGGGGATGGGTTGTGGTGGCAGCTGTGGCCGTCATCAATGTAAGCAATCGTCAACTGCGTTTTAGAATTTAAAATAAACTAATCCATTGTTCGTTCTTCGCCTTCACAGATGACGAATCAGTCCATATTGTCCGTATTTGGGCAACTTTTTGTGGGGGAGCTGCGTCGGATGAATGAGGACACCTTTACATCGGCGCTGATTACGAATTTAAACAGCTTGGCCTTGAACTTCTCGGGCTTGTTCGTTGGGCCGGCTATCAAGAGCTTTAAGCCGCGCAATGTGGCAGCCACCGGTTGCGTTTTGGTCTCCTTTGGCCTGGCGCTGTGCTCGTTTGCTACAGAGAGTTGGCATTTTATCGTCGGCTACAGCTTCTTTGTGGGCTTCGGCCTGGGACTTATTTCGCCTTCCACATTTATGGCCATCAATTCCTACTTCAGCAACAAGCGGGGCCGTGCCGTGGGCGTCTCCCTGGCTGGTGCTGGCGTTGGACAAGTGCTCATACCTCACGTTGTACGATATTTCCTGGATAACCACGGCTTTCGTTTTGCAGTCCTGGCTATGTCTGCGCTTTCCCTGACCGGGGTACGTCTTTAACGACAAATTTAATCCAATCGTAAATTAAATCCAATTATACTCTTCGTTCTAGCTCTTTGGTGCCATGTTTTTGAAACCCCTGCATCCTCCCGTCAAACACAATAACCGCCGACACATTCGCCTTTTGGCCGAAACGGATGGGGAGAAGGGACAAACGAGCCCCTTGCAGATTGTCGTTGTAGCGACCCAAAGCAAGATGGATGAAGCCCATTTAAAGAGCGAGTCCCTGTGCCGACGAATGGGTAACCGCTTGGTCCAAGCCATGGACTTGGAACTCCTTAAGGACGGTGTGTTCTGGAGCATCATTGTTGGCATGGCGCTGGTCTACACGGCCACCATCAACTTTACCATGATCTATCCCGACTTTCTCGGCCAGACAGCTGGTCTGAATAGCACAGCGGTGGCCTTCTGCATGTCCGTGGTGGCTGGTGCCGATATCGTATGTCGCCTGCTGCTGCCCTGCATTACAGATCACCTGAGGATACCCTACCGAGTGGTGTTCCTGCTCGGTACTGCTGGCCTACTCTTTGCACGTCTCGTGCTGGCGGAGAGTCAAGACCTGGGCGTCATAATTGCCATGTCCATACTGATGGGAATGATGAAGTCTGCCACGGTGATCAACAACAATCTCACCATATCGGCGCACTGTCGCTCGGATAAGTTGGCCGGCGGACTTGGGCTGAGCATGATGTCAAAGGGCGTGATTGTCATAACAGTGGGACAACTGCTTGGATGGGTACGCGACTACGCCGACTCTTATGTCATCTGCCTGTACGCCCAGATATTGCTCCTGCTAGTAGTGGTCCTGGCCTGGGCACCGGAGATTTATTACCGTTTCCGCATGCAGAAACGTACCTCCTCCAAGTCCATGGAGACTACACTTGATGCCGCCGAAGAGGGTGCCAAACTGAACTCTTGAATCTCGTGGGATTGGTCTAGGATAGGGGATGGGGCATTTATGATGTGATAATCGACGCTTTGAAATAGCTTCGAAAGTGAGCCACTCTTTGTGTGCCCTGGTGGCTATTCAAAGCGTCGATGGATGGATAGTATTCGGGTTGTGAGCATAGACCAGTGCCATGTGCGCTATGTATTAGGATTAAGGCTTTTTCGACTATTTATTATATTACCATGTAGCACTCAGAGACTTATCTTTTGTACTGCCGCAAGAGCCAAAACAAAAACACAAATATAATTACATATGACAAAAACCAAATTTTATTTTTCTGACGACCGTTTTCAACGCCTTCAAAGCAGATCTAACTTTAATTTTCAATCCATTCTATTCGATTATTGGGCGAGAATAGCACTGCTGCCAGTGCCCGATATCTCGGACTCGCCCGATTCGGTGTTATAGAACAGACGACGCTCCACACCCTCCTTGGTGATAATGCCAACGCGCACCACACCGCCAGAGCTTCCATCATGATAGATGGCATGTTGAACCGCTAAGAGGGTGAAATATGATTAATTCCAATTCGTATGGAAGTCCTACGCTGCTTACCTGTCTTGACAAATTTCACACACTCCTCTTTGCTCATACCCTCGTGGAAATGCTCTCGGACGTAGCCGTAAATGAAACTGGATCCCGATCCGCCAATGGTGCAGGGCTCGCGGGTAAGCATGCCACCCAACGGGATACTAAACACTTGACCACCGCGCTGCTCATCCCAGCCAGCAACAATGATTCCAGCTAGCAGGGAGTCGCGATAGTTGTAGCAGTAGTTACGGAACTCTGAGGCAGCCTCAAAGACCAGGGCATCCTTGCTGGTCTGGTTCTCGTGATAGTTCAACGAGTAGGCCACAATATCTGCGATGGCCTGGGTATCGGCGGCAGAGCCACTACGGCAGCAGTAAATTTTGTCTGTGATGCGAGTCAGCTTGTCGGTGACACGATTGGCCACATACGGTCCGGAGCTGGTACGGGAATCAGCTCCAATCACAACTCCTCCGTCGAATTCGACGGCCATGATTGTGGTCTGCAAATGTTTGAAGGAACGTTAAGTTATCACGAGCCTTGGGTTAAACTCGGGTTGCTACTTACGCCAGTGCTGACGGGTGTATCGGTAAAGTCCATCTCGTAAACCATTTTTGTTGTTTATCTAGTTCTTACAGTTCAATTTACAATTCAATTCTTTTTGTAGAAAAAGCGGCACGAAATGACTGGCTTGTTTTTGACAAGTGGTGCTAGATGTGCGATAGTCACGCGCGATAGCTATTTACTTACGGCTATCGATAGCAGCAGTGGCACATGCTTGTTTTGGTTGAGTTTTAAAATAATTTTTTGATTATGGCGTACGTTGCACTTAGCGAAGCCGAGAAAACGTTTATATTGCATGGCGTAGAGGTAGGTTACGACCAGCAGTAATGGGCCCTGTAATTAATGTGAATGGTCCTATGCCAGGAGGATTTTCGCTGCGATGGGCGGTCTCGTCGGGATTACCGGCCCATGGAGCTGGAGACTGGGCTGGTGAGCAATGCGAGTGGATCGGCTCGTCTCCGCTTAGCCAACACGGACATCCTCGTGGGCATCAAGACAGAAATCGATGTGCCCGATCCCTTGACTCCGGAATTCGGTAAACTCGAGTTCTTTGTGGATTGGTACGTTCAGCTATAGCTTTGCTATACTCCGACTGCATTATAAATCTGTTATCTTTCCAGCTCTGCTAATGCCACGCCAGAGTTTGAGGGTCGCGGCGGCTCAGACCTGGCCCAGGAGCTAGTGCTCGCTCTGGAAAATGCCTACGAATCCCCTTTAGCCTTTGACTATCGCACATTGTGCCTTATACCGGGTCAGCAGTGCTGGAAGCTCTATATTGACATCTTGGTATGTAAATGCTGGTTCCCCATGTCCTTGTTTTATGCAGCTTTTATTTGTAGATACTCGAGTGCGGTGGAAATCTTCACGACGCCGTTTCCCTGGCCGCCAAGGCAGCGTTGCACAACACAAAACTGCCGCGAGTAACTGCCTCCCTATTGGATGCCGGCGTCACGGATCTCATTATATCAGACAATCCGTACGACTGCACACGACTAACCATTGATACGGTTCCCCTGCTGGTCACTGTGTGCAAAATCGGCGACTATTGCCTTGTTGATCCCTCAGCGGAGGAGGAGGCTTGCAGCACTGTCAGCATAGTTGTATCCGTATCGATGCGGAATGGAGAAGGTAAGATGCAGACTAGCCCAATCCTAGGAAACTCTTGCTAATAAATACTGGCAGCCTTCCTTTCCGGCTCCCACATGACTGGCGGCGGCGCTATGCACAGAGATACCATGCGCAATTGCCTGAATCTCGGCCTGTCGATTGGCGAACAACTAAACACGCTGCTCGCAAAGGTGCTGAAGCAGGAGGAGGAGCGCGTGGGACCTAAGCGGCCCAAGACGGTTGGATTTCTTAAATAAAAAATCGTTGAATTGGTATGAAAATGTTGTATTTTGCTCGAACTGACATTGACTATTACTCGAGTGCGGGCTGGCTCTTTAAACTTATATTTAATTCAACATGAACACTTATTGATCTTTACGCTTCTTCGTCTGCCTGCTGGCTGGAAGCGGCTTCTTCTCCTTGGGCTCGGGCTGTTTACCCGTCAGAAATGAGGTCAACATTTCGCTGATCTCGGGCATATCGTTGGTCATCTGTAAAGCAATTCGATTGCATCAGTAATATCAATTTGAACATTGCATTTTAGTTACCTTGGGAAACTGCAAGTTGTCAATCTCTTTCTTAGTTTCGGGGTCGTTGATCATCTTGGGCAGCACCAGCATGAGCAGCAAAGGAAGAACCATCATCAGCACCATGGGGCTGAACATAAAGTCGGTTATCTGCAGGAAAATATAAATAAAATAAAATATATGGTTCTGTTCAAGTCTGGCCTTTATCGCTTCCCACCTTCCACTGCTCTCGTGCCTGGAAATACTTGAATGGCATCAGTGGCTTCATTCTCAGAGGGTAGGCCACCTGCATGATTTGCGCTGGCTGGACAAAGTTCACCTTGCGCGCACGGAACTTTCCCTTGGGATTGATTTCCACACGAACCTAAAAAGATATTGTATTGGACTCGTTACAGTATGGAATGTCTATTAGGTTTACAGGTACAGTAGTACTTACAGGCTCGTAGAACACGTCAGGATGATGCACGTCCAGCACATAGCTGCCGGAAGGAACTCCGCTGATGATGAACTGGCCATCTTCGCGCACGAAACCCTTGTACTCGCCATCATTGATGGTTATTGTCACATCCACTTGCCATTTATTCTCATCTTTATTTAGGGCACCGCCTGCACCTTGCCCTGGTCCCAGAATAGTGTCTGGTGGAGAAACTCGGCCTTCGATTGTGTACAGCCCTGAGACCTCATCCACCAGCTCGTCCTGGCCAATAACGATTTCGCAGCTGCTCAACGCAACGAACGTTGCAATAATAAGCAACTTAAACCACATTTTCTACTTAATTAATATTTTTTTCTCATAAAACTTTGTCGCAGGGTTGTCAGCTAGAGTGGAGAAACATCGATGTTAACATTGATGTCATCGATGTTTTAGATTACCACTAGCAGCATGTTATAGGCTATATTTCCACTATTATTAAACTGTTTGAGCTAATGATAAAATTAGTTTAAAGTACTTGCTTGAAGGATTTTTTTTTATTTTCCCTCAGCCAAATTTATGACACTACTAGTAATAAGTGGTGATAGTTGGGATGACAGGGATAAATCGAAAAAGCAACCATAACTAAACTTTTTCCCACCTCTAGAAGACCCACTTACGCTCCTTTATTTAAAAAGGATAAAATTTAAGTTAAACCGCGGAATAAATAACCAATAGATCTTGTTGTAGATCCATCCTATCCTTCATCTTGACTTAAAAAAATCACGATATGGTTCTCATAAGCTGCGCAATTCCTTGATTTTAATATTTAATATAATTAAAATATTAATTTTTTAATATCTATCACACGATTTCACACATTGTCTTTAAACGAAATTGGCTTGCCATTCAGTGTATGCTTCCCGCGATTTTTGGTTAATTTTACAGAATAGTTAATTTTCATAGTCAGTCCTGAATCTCCATATCTGTTCTCCAGAAAACTGCTGTCCACCGTGTACATGCCGCAAACAAAAGCATCCTTGCAGGCCTGTCCTAGTCTTGTCTGCCACTGCTTGTAATACCTGTATTTGCTGAGTTTTTCTTTCTTAGTGCGAAAGTCTAGCCAGTAGAACTCACTCAGAGTATCCAAGGCAATCAGTTCGATATTCTGGCCTGCCACATGGGACCACTTAGCTTGTCTGAGGCTGTTTATCACGTCTTCGGTTGAGAAGCAATTAATGAACTTAACTTTACGGGCACATTCCTTCGATATCTCCGCCTGTTCGGCCTCAGTGGGTACATCCTCCAATCCAGATCCAGTCCAATCCCGCAGCTCTACTCTGACGGCTTCTTCCAATGACTCCGTATTAACTTTGTGGCTGAGACTGATTAATGCGACGCTCCATTGCCTGCCTCCGTACTTGTAGGGAGCCAAGCAGTGCGCTATTAGCTTCTGCATCACAAGACTCTTACCGCTATTGCTTGGCCCCGAGATTTCAACTAGAGTCCCGTCCTCAAAGCCGCATTTGCCAAACACTTCGAAATGCAGCTGCTTAGAAGTCGATTTCCAATATTCCATTTGATTTGATTTGGGTAGTGTCTGGCTAACTAAATCGTTTAGTTTCGCCCACGTAATTTTAGGCCATTGATGCAAATATTTTCTAGTTAACGGGCGTATTCTTAGTACTTGCTTTTATTGTATTTTGACTAAAACAAGGCTTAAACAAAATAATTCAACAGAAAAACAGCAGTGTTGCTGGTATTTGAAGACAGGATGCGTGTATAGGCCTTTGTACACCCTATTTCGATAATTTTATATGAAGATAAAACGTAATTTATAAAGACCTTTTCTCAAATTGATATTCTTTAGACATATTCATGAATATTCTTAGTATCTTGTATATATTTATCTCGATCCTGATGCCTACGGAGCCTGGGGTGACAAACATATTCACAATTCTATAACATCCATTTCCCCCAGGGTATGTGTGCATGGAATGGGATTCATTGTTGTCAACCGGTTATGACGACTAATTCCTGGTTATTCTTTCTTCCGTCGAATATTACCATCTATATAGATCTTTCAGCCCTGCCCACATAATTCTATACGATTGATGAATCAATTCTCTACTTGACTGGCTTATTTTAAACACTTTCTTGTATTGGATTTTCCCTAAAAAAAGGTTTTAGCGAAAAAGGTCAAACAAAAAAAACATAAGTGTAGAATAGTATTATGAAATACGGGCGTGGTTCAGCACTGGTCTAGGCCTTTCGATGATCATCGATATGAAAGAAAGATTTGTCAGAATGCAGCTCTGTAAATAACAGATTTTCAATCTTCAAAATACATATTTAAAATGAAATGCACTCGTAAGTTATTTAGACCATTATAGAGCTGCACATAAAGTCGTCTTTAATCCAGTTTTTAAACTAAGTTTCTGGATCCTGATCCGAAATTCTTTAAGCCCCACCAAATTATGATTCATCATTGTCGTTGTCGTTCGGTAGCATCGGGCTGCTGAGTTGTTTTCGATTCAACGTCCAGAATCCGAGCTTAAAATACGATTTAATGCATAAACAGCTTACGCATGATTGTAAAATGACATTGAACTGATAAAGGATCGATGCGTCAGAATATTGCACAGCATAAATATATTTAAATATTGTTTTTACACATTTATGTTTTCTGGTGACATCGTGCATGTACATATTTATTGTACCCACACTTTGTTGGTTCAATCAATGAGAAGATTAGGAAATAACTCAAATCCACTTAGGTTAGGTACGATTTTAGGTGCCATTACTGAAAATACTTAATTTGTCTAATCTAATGTATATTTTTATGACGTTCCAGGCACCCATGGTCATATAATTTATGCTTATCACTGCAACAAGGGGTTTCCGGCGGGGCAGTGTGGCGGCTTATCAATCAAAACTCAAAGTCACCGAAAAATTGGATGATTCGTTGCCGCGATATGAATACGAGAAATAGAAAATTGAGCCGAAATGATATGGATACTAAACGTGTACTCCGCGAAGAATTCATTAAGGGGCGCCTGCGTCTTTCCTATGCGAATAAAGTTCGAGAATATTCGAGATAAAACTAGCTTAGCCGGATAAGTGGCAGACAGATAAAGAATATTCATAGTCCCATGCTAGTACACTTGCTCTAACCGCCACACAAAAAAAAACCGTCTACCACTGTCAGTTAATGGTATGGCCCTTTTAATGAATTCAACACGGCATATGTATGACTTTCGGTTTTTCTCCGTTTCTGCGTCCGACTAATTGTATCGCACCCAAAAAGTTTATCTATTTCATAATTTGTGGAAACAATTTCCCCAATTGCCCAATTGCCGGTTTCGGCCATCTTTGTTGTGCGCGTGGAGTGCGGCGAAGACACCGGTAACCTGTTGGAGAGCCAAAGCCGCTGTGCTGAAGTACCCAGAATATGAATGGATTCCATTCACAATTTCGAGTTTATCTTTTTGGTAGTGGAAAAAGCCAAAAACGCCGCACACCAACACCAGCACAGCCCATCACAGCAGGAGAAGCACGAACACATACACATACTGTTGTTTGCTTGGCATAATTTGAGGCAGAAAAAACAATGTTTTTGAAGTTGATGTTTTCTCTGGAAAAGTCTTTAACCAGTGAGAGAGTCAAAGAATCAACATTCCGACTTTAAAATACCCGCTAATCGGTTTTATTTGTTTTATTAATAGATCCAAAATTGTACCTATCATTTGTCTGACACACATGTACATATGTATGTTCAATATACCCTTGTGCTCTACGGCAGCGGGGTATGGTATGAAGAGAGAACACACCGAGAAACACTCCCAAATGATGATACAAGAGGAAAGGGAAGCAGAAAAAAAAACAAAAAAGAAACAGAGAAAGAAAAAGAGACACAGGCAGAAGCAGCAACTAGTTGCTTCTTTGCATTGCGTATACGTCGGGAAGTTCTCGTGCCATTTTGGTTCGGAGAGTTCAGTCTCGCACACACACACACAAATACACACATGCAACCGGCAAGCGCGCTCTCTTTCACTCCTTTCACTCTTTCACTATGTCTCTGTCTCTGTCTCTGTCTCTGTCACTGTCACTCTCTCCAACTCTTTTTTCTACTGGCCATCATCCTGAAGCTCGTGCTGCAGTGGCTCTCGGGGAATTTTTGGTCTGTAACTCTGACCTGATCGGAGCGAACCATTCCCCATTCAGCAGAAACTGAGCACCACACACACACACACATTCTCTGGCTGATAAACTGCCGCTGCTGCTGCCACCGCTGCTGTTGCTGCTTTTTTTTGTGCTGTGTGGTTTATACTGCCAACACATTCTGATTTTCCCCTCAGTTATCTTCAGTCCGTCGCGTCGCTCGCATCGCTTTAAGAGGCGGATCAGATCAGGCCCCCGTGCGGCAGCATTTCGAAAAGGAAACAAGTAAAGCAAATAGTAGCAAATAGTCGGACACGATTCGAACCCCAAACCCAAAGCACAACACGAAGAAAGCAACGCCACACCAGAGCAACAACAGAACACAACAGTAGCGCAGCGCCCATTTATATGCTCCACATATATGTATAGTACCGACCCGTACGCACACGCCTACATACATATATGTACATATAGAGGCGGACATATGTATAATTACTGATACTGATACATATATGTACCGCGTACATACATATGTGCCAGAAGTATTTATAAGCGGCGTGTTGTTTCGCTTCAGGCCGATCCTGCTTCTTCTTCTTCTGTCCGTCCCGCACGTTGTTGCTGCTGCTGTTGGTGCTGCTGCCGTTGACTTTTAACTTTCGCTTTTACTGTGTCGGCGTCCCCGCGACGCGCCACCGCCACCGCCCCGCCGCTTACTTTCGTTTTCTCACACCACACACAAAATTCTTTGCAGCGCGCCAAAAATAAGAACAGAACTCTGTTTTAGAACACTCGTAATCGCACTCGAGTCCCCCAGAAAACTCCGAGGGCTGCAACGCCGCAACGTAGAGGAAACATAGAGGTAAGATCGCTCACAGACAAACCACTGATGCAGCGCGAACCGAACCAAACGCCCATCTGGCCGCGTTCTTGGCCCTCTCACTAGGCCCTCGCCTGGCCTGGCTCAAAACGGGTTTGGTTTGTGGCCAAAAACACAGCACACAGCGTGAGGCAGAACTCCAGTAGAGTCACCAGTAGAGTTCGGCTGTGGCCAAAAGGGAAACGATGAGGCTTTACTTTACCCCAATACCAGGAACCGGCAGCACAACGCACACGCAAATGGCTTTCGAGCGCCTTTTGTGGCGCAATTTCTTAGCCGTGTCTTTGTTGCCTTGTTTCTGCTGCGTTGCCTCTCCCTGAACTTGAACAAAGAAAATGAGCTTACATTAGATCGATTGTACTTACTAAGTCTCTGAGCTAGCACCCGTAAGTATCTGCAAGATACAGAAGAACAGGCTGGCTTGCAGAACCACTTCAAATGCAAATCCGAAGAGTTGATCTCGGCGGGGCCTGTCCCTCTCGTGAGTCAGCGATCCAATCCAGTTTTTGGCATTCGCCCAAGGTTCTCTTCGCGTGGCTCCAAATGATTTCGATTTGGACAACCGGTTGCCGGTAAAAAGCAAACAAAACAGTGCTAATGGCTAATGTTCCCCCACACGTCCGCACATCGAACGCAATCGAAACCCAAAACCCCAGTACATCCATATTCATATCCATATCAATAGCCATATCAATGGGCCGTGACGCCCGCGTGAGAAGCATTAGAACTGCAAGATGCCAATGACCTAATTTCCCCCCCCAACCACTAATTGCGTTTCTTGGTAATTAATCAATATGCGTCGGAGCCAGAGACAGAGTCATATTAAGAGCGCTGGTCTGGCCAAGAGATTGGCATGTTGAAAACTACTTTTCGATACTCGAATTTTGCTTTTAATTAGGAGCCAGAAAAAAAAGAAATAGAAATCTGAATTATACTGATATTAGGCATTCGGTAAACATGTTTTCTGCATTTACAATGCCCCACTCATTGCCAAATATCCACAAAACAGAAAATTTGAAGAATTCTTGCGGTTGGGGATTCGGATTTCTCACTCCACAGCGATTCGGTTGAGTGCGCTTGCGTGCCGTGCCGGGCTAAGTCGTTCGGAGAGTTCGGAGATTTCCGAAAGGAAAGATTCCACAACCAAGTGTTTTGGGAATCTTGGAAATTTTTCCACACACACCCAAGATAATCCGATTGTCAATATTTGCGGGTACAGCTGATTAAAGACAGCTCTTGACTGCAGTTGCAGTGGCAGTCTGTTTGCTTCCTTGCTCTGCTTATCAGATGGGAGAATTGGAATTGGAACTGGGATTGAAACCGAACCGAGGCGAAAAACAGCAAACAGAACACAAGGCAACAACATTTTGGCGCCAATGTCGGGGTCTGATCGGATCAAATCAGATCAGATCGGCCCGATTCGGGGTCAGTTGAAAACTCAAACAGTGCCGTGAGATGTGAGATGTGAAACGGAATCCGAATCAGAGGCTGGAGGCTGTGCGTCATGTATGTATGGGGAAGTGCCTGACAAAGCAAAGCCACGTGCAGATAACCCAATAAACGAGTGTATAAATATCAATTTACATACTACACACAACAAATCACGACCTGCTACCCTCCTCCAATCTCGAT